CCTTCACTTTGATCTTCTCAATTCTTGTTCTCGTCTGTACGCATTTTCCCCTTCACTGCGCCATTGCATCTAGAGCCTTTCTTGATTTGCTGCAAATACTGTCTGTCCAAGGCTTCACTCTCTGCTCTATTCGAGTTCTGTGTCGCATAGTATTGTGCCGCCTAGTGTACGTACCTCTTTGCTCTGCCGCCATACCTCTCTCCCTCCCTCATCATCTGCCTACCTTACCTACCATTGCATCCTCCAACATTTGTGAGAAGTAAGCCGCTCAATACCCCATACATAGCACTGTTGTAAAAGCGACTTTTGTACCTACCGTAGCTCAGAAACCCCTGTTTCTGCTGGATTCGGCAATAGCGCGCTCTTTCCCTTCTTGTGTACTCTATTCAGTCACACGAGGCAACCATATACTTTGCTGGCTTCTGTCAACTAGGGAAACTCCCTAGACCCTCTTCCCTTACTACCCAACCCTTTCCTGACCGCACGACTTCACACCGTTGCCTACCGTCGTCGTAAACGCTCACCTCTTGCCGCACAACCGCTACTCTCGTTGCCGACGCAATCCTCTACTCTGGTATGCCTACCCCCTTGCCCCGATCCCTGATGACAGGGGCTGCACTCTCTTATGTTATGTCCCCTGGCCTCTGCAAAGATATGTGGCTAGCCGGGTTGCGAAGATTGTGTAAACGTTACGGCGTTTAGACTCTGCCCATCTCTACTTGCCCCGGCTGAACATCTTTACACGGGCAACTTGGCTACCTAGCTAGCCTGGTCTTTCCTCTTGTTTTAATCCATTGGAATCATCTGGCGGTGCACCCAGCTTACATATTTCCTTAGAGCCAAGAGCCATCGTTTACTCATACGGAAGGCGTTTCCGTGTCACGAAAAGCCGGTTCGCCGTTCTTCATATGGCTCCTGCCGGTTGCAACACTCCTCTTATCATCCCCACTTCCCCTTGATCACACCCTATCAAGACGGGCAGCAAATAAAAAACCTTCGATGCTGCCTGCTTCAACGCCCGCTGTGCGCATGGTCGCCGGCCAGCGTAAACGCCCCCTGAGTCCCGGTCGCCGCAGGCTGTACAAGAACCATAACCCTAACCGCCTCGGCGACTTCAAGAAGGTCTGGGCTTACATTGGCGTGCACAAAGACCCTACCACCGACTGGGATTCAGGTCCCGACCACAACCATTTGCTCCCCGACCAGCCTGCCCTCGGAGACCGCCTTGCCAACCTTTTCGTATCGACAGATGCATCTGAAAATCAGACGCTGGCCCATCATGCCCAATCCATGCCTGATGGCGACCACCGCGAAGAGCCCGTCGAGGTCGAGACTTCAGTCAGCAATGACGGCGAAAATCCCAACGTCTTCTCTCCCGAACTGAACCCCTCGAGCTCCCCTGAGCCTGAGATTCCGGCCTCGCCCACTTTGGGCATGCCTAGTTCCCTTGTGGCCGCAAAGTTTACGCATCATGGATCTCATGTTTGTCATCAGAGCTTCGCTCTCTCAAGCATGTGCCAATCCACCGTCGAGGCGCGCGCCGCTGCCTTTGCTCAGCGCATGAATGGTCCTGTCGCTGCGCCGCCCAAGAAGGAAAAGACGACGTTCGACGACTTGCGGCGCCTCGTTCTGGCGGACTTCAAGTCTCATGACGAGGACAGCATGACTGACTTCCCTGCTCAGTACGCCAACGGTATTTACGTCTACATTGACTGGTCCAACATAATGATTGGCTGCCAGGAGGAGCTCAAGCGCGGCTATGGCCTTCCTCCCACTTCACGCCGTGCTGATGTCCTCGACTTCGCCCGCATCAAGCTCATCCTTGAGCGCGACCGCGGCATCAAGAGCCGTGTCCTCGCGGGCAGCCGCTCCGCCAAGCCCGGCCAGAAGGAGCTCAAGACACTGGACGCCTTTGTTGAGCATGGCTATGACGCGAACATCCTTGAGCGAGTCTACCGTCCCAACGAACAGGCGCAGGCTCGACCTGGCTACGGCCTTCCCCTCGAGACGAGCCCGCGCAAGATGCAGGAGCAGGGCGTCGATGAAATCTTGCAGATGAAAATCTCCGACGATATCATTGACGGCGTCATCGCTGGCACGCCCGGCGTCGTTGTGCTCGCCACAGGTGACGGCAACGAAGCCCAATTCTCCAAAGGCTTCTTCGCCAAGGTGGAGCAAGCCCTCAAGTCGGGTTGGATCGTCGAGCTGTACGCGTTCAAGAAGAACACGTCGGCCACGTTCCGTGACCGCCACTTTCAGGCCCAGTGGGGTCACCGCTTCTCACTGCACTTTCTCGACAAGTTTGCCGAGGCTCTTGTTGACGAGTCGTAGCAGACTGCTCAACAGGATCCCCGGCCGGCACAGCCTTACCGTAGCGTGCGAACGGCCCACGTCCAGAACGCGTGCCACCCGGTCTACGGCGAACTGCCACAGGAAGGCGACATCACCGCCAGTCTGGGTGAAAACCTTGACACACTGCCTACAGCCAAGCTGAGACGCATAGTCAACCGATCCTACGGCATGTACCAGCAGTATCAGCTCCAGCATGACATGGCCGTCAAGCGAGGAGATGCTACGGCGGCTAGCTTTCTCCACGGCTGCATTGGCATCAGCCATGGCAACTGGGTCAAACTTGACAAGCTCTTTGATCAGTCAAAGAACAATGACCTGAGGGGCTCAGCACTGGGAGTTCAGCATGGACGAAAGTCCTGCCTGATCTGAATTGTGTCGAGTCACCGCCACCAGATGTGCACCAGCCTTCTGCGAACAGAGGCGCTGCCCCTCGGTCATTGTTCCGACCCTACGGCAGCACCGCCTGGACGATCCCATGCATAATAGTATGGGTATCATGTTCCTTGTCTACTGCCTGGATAGGCCTTGCAGATCCCTCTTCTCGCCTGCCTGGGCGAGGTAGGTTGAGGGATCATCCACAAATCACAATACCTCACATTGACCGGCCGTGGTCGTTGCTTTCGACTAGGCCGCTCTTCTTTTCTTTTTCTATCAAAGTTCACCAGTTTAACGCTTGGCAACGATGCCGGGCTTGCGTTTCGAGTGGTAAAACTGCATGCGCCAAGGACCGTTGGCAGATTGTTTCTTTCGACTTTCTTTCCTTTTGGCGTACAGTATGTCCTCGGCAACGCCCCCTTTCCTTTCTGCTATTCGAACATCTGCATGCACACGACACGGCGTTTTGTTTCACGAATGATGAAGAAAAGTGCGCGACACAGACAAGACGGCAGGACACGAGACCCATGACGAGGCCGAACAAATCCAGACATCACATTGCAGGGAGAAGACGACATTTTGTACGCGAAACAGGTGGTTCGGCATGTCCTTCTAACGACGCAAAGCTTTGTGCTCCGCCCGCATCTCCTTGTTTCTTGCCACAATTGTCGCGCGCCTTGACGCGCACCGGCTCACAGCACGACTCGGCTTCTATGCAGAGCATGGCTAGCACGTGCTCGAGCGCGCCAGAGCAGCAATGGTTGCTCCGGACAAGGCCCGCTCGTTTGGTTTAGACGGATTGGTCAGGAACATGGGGAAGGGGGACTGTGCGTGATAGGATCGTTGATCCCGCTCCCGCCCGCCCTCTTTCGGCTCGATGGTTTGTTTTATCTTTCTGGCGTGTACCACGGCGTTGGATGGAGGAGCCGAGCACAAGCTCGACGGTTCTCAGGATGCGATTGGGTCCGGCACGGCGTCAGGGTTGCCAAGAAACGGCATGGTTTTATGGAGATCGAGGAGAAAGAAAGGTAGAAAAAACGATCATGACAAAACTCCAAGCTCGGCGATTGTGAAGCGGCCCGCCATGCAGCTCGTGACAAGCACCGGGACGGCGCCCGAGAAATCGATCCAGCAGAGACCGCAAAGTCTGACCAATGCCATGATACCGTGATCGTCGAGACACCGGGAAAGAGTGAAATTGTCCATCTCTTGCTTCTCCGTGGATGAAACTCCATAACCAACCTCTCCGCGTCCCTTTTCTCCCCTGGACTGGGTGTTTGCGCAGCAGATCAGGACTACCCTTCCAAGTTGATCAGTCTGATTGCCTTCTTCTTGATCCCCCTGATAAAGCAAAGAGGGTACGCGGGTCCTTCCTTGCCTACAAGGGGGACCAGAATGTCTCCTCAGAGTGTGATTAATTTCAACTCAGCACTGCGTTTGCCAAGAGATGATGGGTAGATAACACCACTGCAGGAAGCACAATAGATAACTTTCCGAGTCAACAGTCGCAATCGTCGTTTTTCTCCTCCTTGTACATAGGAAAAGAATGATGCCATGCAGTCATTCCAGACACACCAGCAGTGCGATGATCAAAGTCATGGATGGGATTGAAAATCGTGTATCTCGTAATACGAACTCAACATTCAGTCCCACTACTGCACCCAGTACAAGACTCCAAAAAAAAAAGTTCGCTTGCCCCTCCGATGCTGCCGTGCTGCTTTTCTATCCCATTCATACCATAGTGGAGGGGCGGAAATATCCATCGACCCCACCACGACTTGTAAGGAAAAGAAATGGCTCATGACTTTCCCAATAGTAGTTTGCCGAACGCCCCATGTCGTCTTCCGCATCACCAATTGTACTATATACGGAATGAGAGAGAAACCACCATACCGCCTTCAAACAGAAGCTAGCTATGTCCATCGTCGCCAGAATGCCGGCTGCCAGAATGCCGGCAAGCCAAGTGTTCGGCCCTTCTGAGGAAGTTGGTGAAGGAAAAGATGAAAAGAAGAGAAGAAGTCCAAGATAGAAGAAGTAAGATAGGAAGTGGAATAGAAAGTGGTATCTCGAGTTCATGCACAGTGTCCCTCGGGACTGTCTAGGATGTCGATGGCCGTCTAGTTGGTGTTGTAAATCTCTCGTTCTTCGCGGATCGATGTGATGCCTGCGCCGCTACCCCCCTCAAGCAATGGTTGACTGGGCGGGGGCATTGTTGCATGCACCTTGGCTGGGTTCAGCGCGCCGCTACCCGCCGAAGTATCTTCGGCATGGACCACTCCATCGGCACCGAGCTCACGATGGAGTGGTGAAGATTGATGGGGCGAATTGGATCGTTTACTTGCCGCATCACCACTGTTCCCGCCGCGAGACGAATTGCGGGGAGAAACTCGTCCGGTCTGTTGATGAGTGGTGGATTAGGTACTGCCCGTTTGGAAGGAAAGGGGGTCGCATGTTCTTACCTGTTTAGCCCATCGCAGGCCGCAACTGTTGCATAGATCACGCTGACCACTAGGTCCTCGCCTCCATTCGGGCGTGTTGCGTGTGTGGCAGTTGGCGCAGTCTCGGACCACATTGCCCACACCCTTTCTTCTCTTTCTCTTCTTCTTGTTGGAAAGAAGACCGCCAAGCTCCTCGGCCAGAATTCGATTCACCTTCTCCATCTGCCGCAGCTCGAACTGCCAGCTCGAGCACTTGGTAGTACGCAGTTCGTCGAATATGTTGTCGTCTGCTGCGAGTGCGACATCTTGGGTGCCCAGAGCCAATGCCCCGCCTGCTGGCGCTGACACGATACCGCCCGCTTGGGCCTCGGTGCCTCCAGTCGATGATGTCTGCAGTTGGCCTTTCTTACCAGTGGACTTGACGCTTCCGGGTGGTGTTGCTGCAGGTGCGATTGCTCTGGACGAAGCCTTGATGAGTTTGGTTTGAGCGAGTAGAAAGGTGGGCTTCTGACCCTCGCAGGCGTCGCCAGGATACAGAACCGTCTGTGCCTGTAGTACCTGCCCTCTCCTATTCTGAACTTCATGCTTACAAGTGACAATTTCACCACGTCGTGCCTTTTCGATCGTGCGACCGAATTCGGCCCGTGACTCTTTCCGCATGAGCTCTTGAATGCTAGTGCCAATGAGATCGTTCGGTTGCAGGTCTAGGAGAGACCGAACATTTGACGATACGAACAAAAACATGCCTGATGTGGAGAGCTTCGTCCACAGCTCACTGTCACCGATGCCACCGTTCGCATCAAGGTTACGACGACTGAGTGCAAAGACTGGCCTTTTGCGGCCAACAAGGATGATGCTCTTGCGTCCCTTGCCCTGTTCGACAAACAGCGAGCCGTGACTCTCGAACCACGTATAACCGCTGTGCTTCCGCCGGATACGGAAGACAATGTTGACCGGGCTTCCGGGTGTTGTGTCCTTCAGCTCTCGAGTTACTGGGACGATATCGGAAGGATGGCAGATGCTGGATAATGTGTTTCCTGCCAACTCAGCGGCGTCGTATTCGAGGACCCGCTTGCATGAGGGTGAGAGGTAGAGAAAAAGGCCCTTCAGGGACAGGACATGAACGACGTCATCTGCGTTCTCCAGAAGCATCTTGTCCCAGGACTGTTTGTGCCAGTCCGAAACAAGGCCTTTGGGGTTGAACTGCTGCAACAGGGTCGAGACATCATCGACTCCCAACGTCTGCCCATTTTCCCGGCTCCCCACTGACCTGCGTTCGGCGGTGTCCAGATGTACTGCCCGATATCGCTGTGCATATAATTGACCTGGACACCCTGCGCATCTTGGCTGGAGGCAATAGCATCAGGACACTCGACAAGATCAATCTGGAAGCCGACAAAGAACCTGATCTCATCAGGGTCATCCCATGGAATGGGTATCATGGTCAGAAGATTCAGGAACGGCTTCCCGCCTTTTCGATAGTTGATGAGACTTTGTTGGACCTCTTTGCCTTCGTGAATCTTTTGCTTGAGGTTGTACACGGCAGCATCGTCGACAAACTCGCGCTTCGAACCAGCCTCGACGGCACCGTCTGGAGCCTGGAGGAAACGACAGTTTTGTCCCACAATCTCATGCCGGCTATAACCGGTCAAGTTCTGGAAGTTGTCGGACACATAAATAATGGGACAGTCGTTCAGAGACATGTCGCATACGACAAAGGCACAAGACATGTCCACAGCGCCTAGATGGATTTCCGGGTTCTTACGAGTCGCAACGTACCACAATGCCTTCAGCATGTCGAATCCGCTTTTAGAGTAAACGCTCTTGTCCTTTGTATCGAGTCGCGGTGTCTGAGGGCCGGCAGCGGGCGTAGTGGCGGCTGAATGGGCGGCCTGGACCTGTGACGTCTGCGGGGTAGAGAGAGAGGAGGCGTGCGGTGGTGTTGATGAACTGTTGGTTGACAGGTCCCGTGTCAGCGTCGAAGGCGCGGCTGGCGCCTGTACGGAGGCCCCGGACTGGGCGCTGGGCGGGCTGGTTTTCTGGCCCTGGCTTTGGCTCACGGGTGTATGGCTCTGGTCCTGCTCAAATGGCAGTCGTTTGGGTTGAGCCTGTTTATGGGTTTGTGATTGGGTTTCGGCCTGTTGTTGGGCAAGTGCTTGTGACTGGGCGTGAGCTTGAGCCTGAGCCTGGGCCTGGGCCTGAGCCTGAGCCTGAGCCTGAGCCTGAGCCTGAGCCTGAGCCTGAGCCTGAGCCTGAGCCTGAGCCTGAGCCTGAGCCTGAGCCAGAAGGCGATTGTCTGGAGCTGGAGTTGCGGCCATTCCTTCGACGCCGGTCATGCCAAGGTCCAGGTTGTTTATAAGCGGTGCCGTGCTAGTCCCGAGGGACTGGTCTTCGGGAGAGCCGGCCATCTGGACATCTCCGCCGTTGGGTTTGAGGCCAGTCTGAGAAAACTGAGGCTCCATGACAGGTGAGCCATACATGTCCATGCCGCCTGGCTGGGCCCCCATGCTACTCATGTTCATGTTGGCGAAGCTCTGCGGCATCATGGAGCCGAGCACCTCGGTCGAGTACTGGGGGAAAGCACCACTGGGGGACATTTGCATCATCATGTCCTGGCCCGAGAACGAGTCGATATGGGACGGAATATCGGACATGCTGACGTTATTCATGCTATCCATGTTGCCCATGTTGCTCATGCTATTCGACATGGCGATGTAGTTGTTGTTCAAGTGGGCGTTATCCATGTTCGGGCCGCTGAAGGGATAGTTTCGATACTGGCCAGAGTTAGTCCCAAACTCCATCATGGACACCCTCCTGTCGACATCGTTCTGCTGTTGTTGAAGCTGTTGCTGATGGTGCTGCTGTTGTTGACGATGTTGGTGCGCCATCTGGGAACTGTAGTTCGGGATACTCAGGCGGCGTTGGATCTCGGATCGGTTGTTGCGAATAATATCGTCGAGAGAATCCCCCGATACCATGGCGCCATCCTGCATAGCATTCATGTGCTGGCGACCGTGGCCTTGAGACGAAGCCATCGGCATAGAGATCTGGCGTTGAAGCGCATGTTGCTGTTGTGACTGGTTCAGACTTTGGTTCAGGCCCTGGCTTGGGTTCGGAGGTTGGTTTTGGGATTGAAGCTGGGCATGCTGGGCTGACTGCTGCGACAAGCGATGCTGCATCTCCTGGGGAGAGAGCTGTGCCTGATAGTAGGACTCCATATTGAGGGCATCAGTACTGGAAGCCAGGCAGGGTTGGACTGTTGCGGCCTTTCAGCCGCGATCGATGTCGTGCGAGGCGTATTGCGTCGAGGTCGCAGATCTGGCTGTACCGAAGTCTTTGTCTTTCACGAGCGCGAGCGCCGCCAGGTGGTGATGATAGTGCAGGTAGGAAAGCGACCAGAGGGGTTTTGTCCTCTGGGCTCTCCGAGGTGTTTTCGCCTTAATGTTGTTGATGCCGTCGATGCAATCGTTCAGTTGAAATCTGTGGGAAGGGATCGTGTCGGTAGGGTGGGGACAGGATCAGGATTGAATCGGGCTGGGGGAGGAGAATGGGATGGAATGAATGGGACTGGAGAGGGCGGAATGGAGATCGGAAATTTGGCGAGACTGGGAAAGTAAATGGGCAATTGCGAAGGGGAGGGGGGGGTGGCCTGGTGACGACAGTTGGGTGAAGATGCGGTAGATTCCCGACCGAGTCGATGGTCAGTCGCACTCTTCTCGGTCAGGTGTTGTGGACGGGACGCTGGACAGAACTGACGCAGCGAGAGGGGGGGGGGGGGGGGGGGGCAAAAAAAAACCCCTTTGGGGGGGGGGGGACAGGTTTTTGAAAAAAAAAAAGGCTCTGGCGTCGGGGTTTCGTTTCCGGGAAGGTATGGATGGTTGGTTCATTACTTCGAAAAGCAGAATATTTCGCTTGGGGTGCCGAACGAGGAGGGGCGAAGGGCGAACACTCCCTCCCTACCTCCAGTTGCATGTACTAAGCAGGAAAACGTCGCCTCAGCCGTAATGCTTCCCAAACTCGGCGTGCTGGTGAAAGCGCAACACGATCAGTGGGGAGACGGTAGGCCAGAGAACATGGGATTTGCAAATGTTCCATGTTCCGGGTGCATGCTGTCCTCCCATTTACGTCTCGGCTTTGACTCCTACCCAGATCTGGCTCTGCTGACTCGATCCAATGGAGTGGACAACAATGATTGTTGCAGCACCCAGCCCAGCCGCAGATCAGTAATATCCTATACGTACTCACCTAAGTAGGTCCGGTAAGGTACGCTAGGAACAGTATCTCGGGTGCCTTCTCCTTTGAAGGCGGCTGGCCCGGGTGCCTGAACTAGGGGAGGGTGGGCCTGAGGAGGCCCAGGATTGACGCTGAGGCGTGGAATCGTAAAATGGGAGCTCATCGAGCTCGTGGTGAGAAGGAATATGCCGCTCACCGTCAAGACAGGCAGGCCCCTCCAAGACAGGTGCACTATGTGAACTTTCGAGGGTGGGCGGATCACTGTAGCCACCCACCCCAACCCCCGCCATAGCACAGCACTCGTCCAGCGAACGGGGAGAACCGCCTACTACCGTAGGTACCTACCTACTCTACCTAGGTACCTACCTTGGGGGAGAAACAGACCCAGATCCAGAAACAACAAGAAAGAATGCAGATGTCGAGGCCTGCAAGATATCCGTGCGACGTCAGCGTCCAATCACAAGTCCGGAAACAGGACATCATGTCGTCATAGGCTTGCTCAACTCAGAACCAATCCTTGCCCGCCCTTCCCTGGCGTCCCGAGACCAAGGTCAACCCAACGTACCTTAGGTACCCAGGTACCTTAATCACCGCTGCTAGGTAATCTCTAGGGAGTTTCGTTTTGCGTGGCCGCGCTCCAGGGTGGCTGCCAGGCTGTATGTTCAGACGACTCGACACCCCGCGAAAGCCTCATCCTCATCCCGAAACCCATCACCTTCGAGGAGAGGATGAACTAAGTAAGGTAGGGCACCTGAGGTACCTAAAGTAAAGCCATGCAAGCTGCATACGTTAGTAATAAGGTACTCTTCATCTCACATCTAAACGATCCGGACTTCCACATTCACCATTTCTATCCAACTGACTATCTTGATGCCTCATCGGCATCGCACAGGCCGACAAAGGCATCAGTGCGGCGTGTCGGGCGTTGTTAGTCTTGCGTCGTCCACCTCCTGAAGTACCCAACAGCACCTGCTAGCATCATCAGCATCGTAATTTGGGTTCGTATTCATTATGAACGCCTCTTCTTCTTTAGGTAGCTGGGTTGAGCCACGTGCAGCTACTGCTACCAGGTCGCTTTGCCCTGCTCGAGCTTACTTCTGCTCAGCTCCTCTACAAGACTGGCATCAACTCGGCCCACCTCAAGCGTGCAGTCATCTTCCTGCACCTTGCTGCTGGTATCATCACATCACTGTCCGAGTCCCACTGTCTTCCCAATACTCTACGCAAAGTAGGCCGCAACCCTTTGCTGGCTTTCCGCGGGGAACTGCTGCAGCAGGGGCGCAGGGTCCACGCCCGCATTGGCGAGCAGCGCTTTGGTAGCCGCCACTACCCTGGTCACCGTCTGCCCCTGAAGCGCATCGCTCTCGAGCGCCTGTGCGATCATGACAAACATCTTGCCTGCCTGCCCGATCACTGCGGGGTTTTGCCTGTCATTCGAAGTCAGTATTTCTTCCTTGTGAAGGCCCTCTGCCTGCCAACGAAGGGTACTCACTGGTCAATCAACTCTGCAAGGTAAGCGTACGCGTACGGCGCCGCTTCCTCGTCGTTGGTAACGGGCAATGTCTCAAGCCACTGAACAACAACGGCCTGCGCATCCGGCACCTGGCTTGCGTTATAGTGCAGGATCTTAGCAATGGCCGCGCACGCATTCTCCGTTGCATACACGTTCTCGTCGTTGCGTGCGTCCGGCACTTGTGTTGCCTGGAACAGGTACGGCAGCGCCCCCCCGAGGAACTGGCCCCAGGGTGCGCCGCCTCGGTGCGCCGCCACGCCGATGCCGTACGCCGCCGCCTGCCGGATGGCCGGCGAGACATCCTGGCAGCCATCGATCAGTGGCTGCGTGATGACGTTGGCGTATCGGCTGCTCTCCGGCCCGCAGTATTCCAGCACGTCGTCCATGATGCAGAGGCCCCACTGGCGCTGTGTAGGATCAGTCGACTTGAGGAACCCCTCGTACGTGGGCATGAGCCGTTCCCAAGTCGGAAGGAATGCTGCGCCGTGATTCTTGAAGATGGCGTGGAACGCCTTGTTCATGTCTGACAGGAGCGTCTGGTCATCCTCAATGGCCATCAGCGTCTCCTCAGCCTCATCCTCGACATCGTCTGCTGTGGCGCCCTCCTTCTCTTCCGCACGCTGTGCCACGCGATCCTTGTAGTCCTCGAGTGCCGAGTGCACCGAGTCGATATACTTGGACATGTGGTCCGCGCTGAGGCAGCCCTTGCCCACAACCTCGACAGATTCGTAGAAGCATTGGTACATTTCAGCCAATGTGTCAATGGCCGGCTCAGCCGTGAGGACTTCCAGCAGCTTGTCCACCGTTGCGGTCCATAGGCCTGCAAGCTCATTTGAGGGGCAGCCGTAGGCTTTTTTGTAGGAACCCAGGAGCTGAGGCACCAGCTTGGCCGAGACGAATCTGACGGGGTCGTGGAAGAAGAAGGAAAGGCCCGGGATGGCAATCTTCTCCATGATTTCGGCAACGTAGGGAGAAAAGTGGCCTTCGAGCACCTGGGCATACACAACCAAGAGCTCAATCGCCATGTTCTTGTCGTCCATTGTACTTGTCTTGATGCCAATCATCTTACCCTTGAGTGGCACCAGCTCCCAGCCGTCCTCCTGCTGGATCTGCTCTACCTGCTCCTCGTCATCCAAGAGCTGGATGTCGGCCTTTGCGCTCGCTAGCTCAAGCAGAGGAGGCATGACATTGGCGAGGAAAGGCAGGAACTCATGACCGAGCACCCTGCACATACGGCCCCAGCAGTGCATGAGGTACTGTGTCTGGGGGTCATCGGCATCAGTGATGTTGGCCTGAATGTTGGCCAGAAGTTGAACAAGGGTCATGGCATCTTGTCCAAGACGCTCCTTGCCGACAGCCAGCGCAATCAGGGTGGCACACTCCATGGCCTTGGCGCGAAGGGTACGGAATTCCCTTTCGTCATCGCGCTGGAGCACGTTGACAAGAAGAGGCATCAGAGAGTCGTAATACTTGCCAAAGGCGGCCTCTGCAGCATCGGCAATGGTGGCGATAGTGGAGAGAGCTTGCTCTTGCACATAGCGCTTGTCGTTCTGGAGAAGTTGGAATAGGTGTGACAGCAAGCCGTCGAGATGGGGTTCGAGAGTCTCCTTCTCGGCCTCTTCGCAAAAGTTGACCAGAGCAGCAGCTGCATGCGATTTGACACGTGGCTCTGGTGACTCAAGCACGGGTACGATGGCTGTCAGAACGCGGTCGTAGTAGTCAGTCTGCATCTTTGGAGCAAAATCGGTGCTCATTTGTCCAAGCGCGTTGCAGCCTGCCCAACGCACACGCGGGTGGGGATCCTTTAGGGCAGGTATGACAAGGTCGAGTACCTGACTTAGCTCGCCGATCATGAGATCTCTACAACCTTCAGAGATGGCAGAAATGGCCATCAGGGCCGCGTGCCTATCCTTCCACGCCATGGAAGTCATCATCCGGGGAAGCCAGTTGAACGTTGGGGCGAGGATCGTTTGGCCACCAAGCTTGTTGGCAAGACGGTCCATGCATTGCTCTCCTGCGACGTGGTTCAGATCGCTTTCTTCTTGGTCAAGCTGCAAACGCGATCAAATTAGAGGACATTCCAGTATTACAATCTTCAATACAAGCACTTACATCATCGGAATCAAGCCACTCGGCTGCATCATCGTCGTCCTCGCCGAGATCCGTCATGAGGCTCAGGCACTGCGTGATCATGTCGTTGGTATAGGACTCGTCCTTGCGACACATTGAGGGTGCGTAGTCGGCAAATGTGGCCATGAGCTCGAGAGCGTTCTGACGGCACAGGCTGTCGAGTTCCTTGTCCTGGATGACGGAGATGCTAAACTGCACAAGGTTACGGAACAGGCTCTTGAACATCTTGGGAGCAGTTTCGGCCAAGTCGATTAGAGCAACGAGGGCGGCGCTGAGGTCTTCAGAGTCGTGTGTCTCCTTGATGGGGGGTAGAATATTGAGAACATCGGCAATGAGCGGGTAGTATTTGGCCTGGGCCTTCTTGCCCAAGCTCCGGAAGAAGGCTGCGAAGGCCTCCATGGCAGCTAAGCGAACCTGGATCGACTCGTCTTTGAAGCCTTTCTGGAAGGCCTGCATGACGCCCTCCTCGTGTTGCTTCTCGATCACACTGGGAGTCGTGGCGAATACGCGGAAGGCTGTCTCCCGCTTTTCGGCCTCAGGGGCCATGCTCAACTGAAAGAGTGCGCCAAGCAACTCGGGCCAGGAGTCATCTGTCGGGAGATCAGTCATGATGCTTGAACAAAGAGACACCCTCTCATTATCGGCGCCTTACTGTTCTCCGTGTATTGCCTCGCGATTTCGGCAACAGCATCGCTGATTTTATTCCTTACGGAGCGGTCGAAATCGCCTGCAAGGGTTTCGAGAAGCTTCTGGCGAATGACAGCAGCCTGGTCTGTGGCCAACGAAATGAACATGTCTACCGAGTCGCCCCTCTCATTCTTGCGGGTTTTCGAAGCGATTCGGCGAAAGATGACAGCAGCAAAGGAGCGCACCTGCGAGACGAAAGGCTAAGTCAGCGAAAGCTGTTCCAAGATCTAGTCGCGATAGGAAAGGCTCGACAAACCGGAGTCTCAGATGCGGCCTGGACTTGCTCAGCAAGACCCATGAGCAGGATCTCGGGACGGTTGTTCGTCCAGTTGTTTTGCAGATGCTCTTCAGCCTGGGCTCGAGTGTTGTTGTCGGCAGACTGGAGAGCTTGCAGAAGCTGGGTCAGCTCCGCATGAACATCAGCGGGGAGAATCGACATGGCTGCGAGTGGTGCTGAGGCTGATGTTATTTCCTTCGAGCTATTTCGGAGGCGGGTGTATGTAGAAGCCCCAGCCGAGTCCGAGATGGCGATGTGTCACACAGACGTGGTATGAAGCAGGCGAGGCGAGCAGGAATGGCTTTGCTGCTCGCGACAAGCCAATAACTTTGTGGATTGAGCACGTTGGCTTTAGCCTTCGGGCGGGGGCGTTCCTGATACGTAGGCTTCGGCGTTGTGTCGGTCAGTCCGTCGCGTCGTTTGTCGGGGGACGCTTGGGAGACACAACAAAAGGGTTGGTAGGTAAACGATGAGCCAGAAGCAATCCAGGCCGGCCTCTTTCTGTGTTGGCTGTTGTGTCCAACAAAAAACAGCACGAGGAAAATGGCCCTTTGTGGTTTCGCAGGCTCGACAATGAAGGATGGAGCGGGAGGGATGGGAATAGGTATAGGATGGCAGGGCGGGAACAACAAAAAAAATTGAGGGGTGAATTGTGAAGGGCGGCATGGGGCGGGCAACCACTTGTGCATCCATGGCAGCTGGAAAGTCAAATAATGGAGGGGTCCAGAGTGGCTTGCACCGTCATGGACAGCTGCCACCGCCTGGATGACCCTGTTACCATAGTCACCGATAGCAACCCCGCCTTCCATCGACCGTCTTATCGCTAGATGGACCCGCTGTTTTCGTTCAGAGAGCGGCGCATGATCTGAGGTGAGGGGTTGTTTGATCCTAAGCTTCGTCCAAGGCCCCCCCTCCAGTCCAGCTGGATGGTTGTGGTTCCTGACTGACCTGACCTCCATGCAATACTCTCACAACTCACACGAATGATCTATCTACCCATATCCGTTACATTGAGACCCTTGCGCAGTCTTTTCATCCCCTTTCCGTGATACATCCTGCGTCGTTGCACCGAATTCGTCATATGATCGTCACAACACAGCTCCAAGTGTCGAAAGCTTGTTGACCTCCGTTTGAAAGTTCCCAAACACCTCTCAACAACCAAATCTGGCAGAGAAACTTGTAACGGAATAATAATCTGAAGCGACTGGCGGAGTCTTTACCCCTTTCCACCTGAGAAGGCATCCCAACACCAGAAACGCGCCATGGACCTGCCAGCTTCAGGTTCAGGTGCAGGGGCAGGCACAGGTCCGCTGAAGGACGCTGCGGCAGCCGTTCCCACCGCAATTCAGAGGACACCATCGCAGTCCAGCATTACCAAGGCTTCTTCCCACACCGCGGGTCACCGTTCGAGCTTCGCAGAGAATATGCGAAACGCCCCTGGCTCCCCCCGATCACAACGCCATCCTTCCTTCACCCAAGCCGCTGTGCAGGAGCTCTTGAACCACCCGCCTGCTGCGAACAAGCATTCAAACCCACGATTCGCCGGCCGGGACTGGCGCGACATCTCGGTCAACGAACTGGTGTCACCCGAGGACGTGAAATGGGCTACTCTCGACACGAGCGTCGAGGAGGCCTCAATGGTATAGGACCCCCCCCCCCCCCCCCCCGCAACCCCCTCCCATAACCTCTGATAGCTTGTGAGTGCTGACCGTGATTACTTCATTAGACGCTTGTCAAACATGCTCCTATGAATGCCGTCCTCATCCGCCAAAACGCATCTGCGACAACAGCCATCTCCACATTCGACTACAATGATCTGAATGCCTATCTGTTGGTCGTCGTTGGCCTTGCCAACCCCGACGAAGGTCAGGTCAGTCTGTTCGACGACATTGCCACCAAGGCCCAGGATGGCACTCCCATTACACTTGAAGACATACAACCCATCTGCAGGAAAGAGTCCTTGGTCACGTTACCCTTTGATGAGACATTAGACAAGGCCATTGAGATATTCGGCAGCGGCATCCATAGGGTCCTCGTCTGCGGGCCATCAGGTGATGTTGCTGGCATGCTGAGCCAGCTCAAATTAGTCGAGTTCTTCTGGAATGAGGGCATTAACTTCCCGGCCATCGACCGACTCTACCCTGCCATTCTTCGTGATTTGGCCATTGGAACCCAGCAGATTATTGCTGTAAAGTAAGTGGCCCGGTCAGGGGTCAAGGTTTATCGGTCATTTCTACCATGTGCTCTGCTAATACAATGTGCCAGCTGTGACACGGTTCTAGCCGAAGCTTTGGCTCTCATGAATACGGAGGGCTTGACCAGCGTTGCCGTTATTGACAATGCTCGGAACGTTGTCGGCAACATTTCAACAGCCGATGTCAAACACCTCACCAATGCCGCCAGCGCCCCCCTCCTCAAGCAATCTTGCCTGCACTTCATATCAGTCATACTTAACGAGCGAGGCGTTGAACACGGACGCGACTCGTTCCCAGTCTTCTACGTTAACCCCTACTCAACTTTAGCTCACACTGTCGCAAAGCTCGTCGCAACGCATGCTCATCGCATGTGGGTGGTAGAATCGGCTTCACCTTCGCCATCAGCTCCCGCAACGCCTTTGCTCGGCCCCTCGTCATCTGTCCTGGTGCCTCCCGCGGGTGCGGTACCGCCGTCACCGCTGCCGACGCAACAGCAACACAGCGTGCCGGCCTCTGCGCTGCCGGGGTCGCACCTGTCAGGACGTCTGAGCGGGGTCGTGTCCCTCACGGATATCTTAAACCTCTTTGCCAAGTCATCCGGACTTCACCCATCTGACCCAGGCGAGCAACGCGCAAGGCGTCGCCGCAGCTCAAGCTCTTCCATGCGACCGAGCATCGAGTCGGCAAGGGCCAGCATAGACGCCCGGCGGTAGCCACAACACGCTTTTGAGCGGGCTTGTAGCTCATATTGAAGAGATTCATAACGGCTCACATGCTTTCCTGGGATGCGGGACTGGGCGGATGAGGATATTCATAGAACATTTGCTGCGGGGCTTTTGCGCGCATCATGTACAATTCCACAGTCTCATGGTTCGCGCAGATACTTTGAAATTCAACTACACGGGACTGATAATGGGCAATGGCTGAACGTTGATTTTCTTTTGAGGATTGAAGGCCACAAATCTGACTCTGTTACGCATACAATGTGCTCAGAGAGACAAAAGGGAAGTGTAGTACACACTGCCGTGGTTGACGTAGTCGGTGCACTGTGTGTCCACACTGTGCAATCATCGAGGCTCATTGGGAAAAAAACTCTTTTACCCCATCGACGGACTTCAGCAATTGCAGCGCAAGCTCTTTACACATGTCGCAGCCCCTGGAACGTACATCCTCTGAATTCCTCACATTCGAGTAACTGGCCTTTTCTTTTACCACTCAGCTGCCATGGCCTCCGCAGCAGACGCAGAGTTCAATACCTTCTACCTGCAGCGCACAACCCAGGAGTTCGCGCAGGACCTCGACAAGGCCCGGAAGGCCGACGACTTCAAGTCTGACTCAGTTCAGTTTCTCGTTCATGCGCTGCAGCAGGGCGTAGCTCTCTATTCCGATGTCGACAAGACGCGGGTCGTAAGATCCATGGCGGCCGAGGAGGAGATTAGGGCAGACGATAGAGAGGCTGTTCCTGAAAGTGGCGGTAAGAAGCGAAAAGGCAAGAAGAGCGATGGTCGGTCATGAGTCCTCTACAGATACCAATGCGTCTGGTCTCAGCTCACAACGTCTTGGACGCGATATTTTGTGTTCTCAGACTGAACGATGGCCGTCCATGGCTGCTGCCAATCTTGTCGTATTTGGGTGCAGCGGCAATACGGCTGTGGTGCCTTCATCAGATCTCACTCTTCAATGGCATCACCACGATGTGCCGGCAGCAGCTCTCCAAACATCATGCGTCGATGGAGTCTTCGTGGAGGACAAACCAAAGGGCACATTAGGGTCGCTTGGGCGACCCTCCCTTCGCATCTGGCTGGCTTTGAGACAATAGCCGTCAACCAGCTCATGATTACAACACTCTATTCGATTATGAAAGTAAAGAAGAGGGTATGGATTAGCTATGCAACAACCAGCCAGATCAATTGGAAGGAATACGGTCTATCTGAGGAAAGACGGAACCTCCGCTGCATTTCCTTAAGGTGTCTGTCATACACCCTGTCGCTCGTTAGACGTCCGTGCAGAGGTTTGGGCCCTCCTCTGCTGGCGAACAGCAGCACCCTTAACAGCAAGCACGATGATAACCCACGCCATCAACAAGCCAACAATGCCGGTTACGACGGTATATACAAACATGGCATCCAAATTATAGTGACGTAGCCCCTCGACAGTGTCAGTGCTCTGTACCTTGTTAGCCAAGTACGTGGTTGGAATGGGAACCTTGGTGATTGCATACGCTAGCCATGAAGATGATACCTCCGGTGATGAGGCAGAATGAAGTCACAAGCTCCGTCGGTGGCCTCGACGGCAGGATCGATCTCGGCGGTTTGAGATACACCAAGACATAGGTAAAGCCACGGGCTATGGAGGCACCGGTAAGAAGATTGCCCCATTGCTTGTGCATCATAGTTGAATCCATGGTGCTCTGGTGATGCGAGCTCATGGTCGTGCCCAGCAGCAGAATGACAAGGGCGGGGACGGGATTAATCGAAAAGTCATAATGCTTCGGCGGCTCGGCAGCATTCTGTTTCTCTGTCCTTTCTCCGTCCATCCGTGTTGCCTCGTGGGCAGGAAAAGCAACCTCTGTGCCTGTTGTATACAAGAGATCTCTCGCACGAGTCGATTCAACAAGCACACCGAGCTACTAGGTTGTCAGCAGCGCACCAAGAGAAGTGACTTCGGGGCACGGAGCGGCTGGGATCATGACTTACAAGGCCTCCACCGATAAATAGAATCGTGATGGAAACATGTTCTAGGTCTCGCGGTGTCCAAGTCTTGTCCGTGCTACTAAGGTGCTCTAGAAAGACATTTGTTGCTCCATAGGAGAATATCAGAGCGCTCTCCACAAGTTCGGCAGAGGGATACCACTTGTCTTGTGATCCTCCAGCGCGGGCGTTCCATGCCTGTATGGCGCCGAGGTCAGTCTCTCATGTTCTTTATCTATCATTTTTGGTTATAACTTACCCAGCCGAGTTTGCCAAAACTGCCGGACCAACGTCCCAAGGTGAAGATTCCAAGCCAGAAGAATACGCCGCCCTTGATCCAGTGAGCCATGCCACCGTATATTGCTCGACCTTCCTGCAGAAATTAGTTCTGGTTCTTGTCCCTAGCTTCAGACTTGTCCAAGAGGCACCACTTACAAAGAGACGCCCGTAGGCCGCTGCACCCGAAGTCAGTCCGATGAACCCCAGGATTAAGATGGTTCTGTCCAGAACATCGTAAATCACCAAACAGCATTTCCAGGCCCGTGATAACAGCGAATCCAATATCAATCGAAACCAGCGTGGGGAGCTCCGACTTGCGTCCCATAAGAATCGCATCGGGCGTCGATTTGCAGAGTCATATTCTCCTTCACTTTCGTCCTCATGCCCTTGGTCTGAAAAAGGCAGTGATACCGGAGGCAATATGGCAGCGTCAGACCGGCCACTCAGTGAGTCAATGTCGGGCTCCGTGCCTTGGCCACTGTCGTGTGATAAGCGGCAACCTCGTGAACATTGGAGCCCATAATGCTGGCAGTTGTCCCCCACGGACTCGATAAACTCAGAAGTCACGGCCTGATATACTGTATCGGAGCTTGCTTCGCGAGTGTGTAGGCGAACCCTGAAGTACCGCGTGGTGCGGCCAAAAAGCCCGATGCAAACCTGCGCCAGAGCGATCCAGGTGAACACCCAGCCGGCCTTGTGATGGGCGTTGTTGGGGTACAAGTCCGGTGTCGCAGCATTATAGATGGCGCCAACCAAAACGCCCAGCGCGTTGAAGGCCAGGAATACGGATTGCGAAGCAAGCGTATATCTCGAACGGGCAAGAGATAGCATCACGGCTGTATGCTATATCAGACGCATACTTATCTAGTAAGACATGGCTTGGAAGAAGAATTACCTACCAAGGGGAAGCACGAGCACCCATGCTACCACCATTAGCGTGATATGCGCATACATGGCTGCAGCGTGGTCTGCCAGGTCGAAATAACTTGGAGGCAACGCCTCAGTATGTGAGCCACCATCGCTCATCGTGGCAGCGTCATGGCCGTTGTCGTGAGATAGAACCGGTGTGATGATATTTGACAGGATGAGAATGATGAGGGGAGGTGTAGCGCTCGACATGATGTGTGTTGAAGACTTGGGCAGCACACACGGGCGAAACAAACACCTCAGCGACCACTTGGATCTTTCAACAAGGCAATCCAAATTGACAATTCCATACGCAAAAGAAAAAAGCGAGGCCGACCACTGTATATGATGGGAGGAAACCTCATATAGTGCCCGCATCCGGTCGAGATATCGGACAATAGCTGCATCAATGAGGAGCCCGTCGTTGGTGTCAGGAGCTCATGAGGCCGAACCTACCCTGTGCAGCCCACTGACTTCGTGGGTCTGTGACTTGATGCCCGAAGCAAGACGACGTCACGCGCGGCGTCACGTCGGAAAGTCGGCTTGAGCGGTCAAGAGATGAGCAATGTGAACCATTCGGGCAGATGCCTTGACATGCAGTTTGTCAGGTCACAGGCCCGCCTGGCTAATCACAGTGAAAGGGTATGGCATCAGCGACTGCAAACCAACAGGCTGCTTCCGAGGGTTCCGGCGATACTCATAATGACGAGAAACTGGTGTTCACAAGATCAAGGTTTCCAACAACCAGTAACGAGTCTCGTCCTGTTTGACTACGCACTACAGGCCAAGCATACGATATGTGACAGGCATGCTTATGGAGAGACGAAACATGGGCAACATAGGTGCCGAAGACTGGCAACCGCTCGGCAGAATTGTCTTTGCAGTGGCCGACTGCCAGGATACCTCCATTCGGACCATGTGCCAGTCCATGGAACCTAACGCAGTGAGGTGGACGATGATGGGTGGGGGCATGTGGGCGGGAGCATAGGGCTGGTTCACTGTGAAGAGAATAATGGTGGGTTAGGTGTCACGACAAAAATGATCTCCTGGAGCAGGCCAGACGTCGGTGGGGCTGACTTAGGTAGTGTGAGGACAGAGAATGGATATCTGCAATAGTCCTCGACAGAGTACCACACTAATTACCAAGGCACCCAATGTAGGTCAAGCGTTATCCCCCCCCCCCCCCCCCCCCCAAAAAAAAGGGAACGTTCCGTCGTCGTCGACCTACGCCTGTGTTCACTCTCGAGTTTCGGCATGCTTACAATTGTCTCATAGCCTTGATGCCACCGAGGGTTGCCAATTGGCTGGTGTCTCGTCATGATATTCAGACGAGCTACCCTCACTGCCAAGACGGGCTGATGTACGCGTGAGCATAGGCGGGTTGTCAGCCCCTCCCGAACGCGAATAACACCCAATGACACACGTCTGTGGCGATGTCTACTATCATGGAAACCCCGAGCAATCCGACAAGGACAACAGTTACAGTACAAACGCTCAGATGTTCGGGAACAATATACAGTCCGATGATGCAGTGTAAGACATCGGAGCTGTCCAAGCCAGGTAGCACCGGATGCACCGGGAGGTCCCGAAGCCGAGTGCGACTAGGAGATGTCCATGTGAACGTGTGTAGGGAGTGGCGTGCTGTGAACGTATCCACGAGCAGAAATGATCCCCTCTAACATGAAGAGCATGTATGAGGGCCTTACTGATAATCTGGCATGTCAATTCAACTGTTGATACACTGCGTTTTTTCTTGTTCCCTGCAGAGGCACGACAGCTGTTCACAGCGACGACTTATCTTTCGTGATCCACCTCTCGGCGTCTGGCGTCTGTGCTACTTGACCCTCTGCTTCCAGTTTGCGCAAGATTTGTAACACCCCACCACTTGCCGGAACATGCAGTGCTTCGGGGACGTCCCTGTATATGACCTTGACAAGCTCCATGACGGTCCAGTCATCCGATTGACTGCCGACACCAGCCCGCTCATGAGAGGTCCGTAGCATTCGTAAAACTTGGTTCTCCCGTTCCTGGCGATGGCGGATGTACTCGACAATCTTGGCCGGTCCGTCGGAGACAACAGGTCCATGTCCGGGATAAGCTCTCCCCTTGAACATGTAACGCATACGTTCGAGACTGTCAACATAGACACCCAGGTCCTCAAAAACGGCTGTGCCGTGGCCCAGTACGTTATCTGCCGTGAACATGGCGTCCTCCTCGTGGAAGACAAAGGCCACATGGTCAGTAGTATGACCTGGGGAGTGCACCGCTGTTAAGCTGGCCCCCGAAACACCGAAGGTCTGGCCGTCGGCGATATTTCGTTGCCCATCTTCAGGCTCATTCTTATAGACTTGAGCCTCCGGGCAGATGTTCAAGATGTCGGCTATGCCTCCGGTGTGGTCATGATGCCAGTGACTGATAAGCACAGTTTCGATAGACGCCTTCTCTTCCTCAAGTGCAGACCTGACTGTTTCGGCCCAAGCGGGCTTGCCCTCGCCCGTGTCGATCAGAATGCGGCGCCTTCCAGTGCCCAGGAGATAAGTGTTGGTGCCCTGGAGGGTGAATTTGCCTGGATTCCCGCCAAGAATGCGGATGCATGCCGGACTCAGCCGTTCGATCGCAGGCAGTGCGGCCAACTGAGTTGCCATGCCTTTGACGGTATGGTTGTGATGGACAAAAAGACAACGTGAAATTGCGCGAAGACCTGGTTTCCTGCTCAATAGCGCCTTCGTCATGGAATGGATCGTGTTGTCAAGGGCCTAGTTGCTTCGCGACGCCCAGATAGATCATGTTTGGCAAAAAGGTGAGGGGCGAACAGCTTCATTGTAGGTAGGAGACATAACCAGGGTTGGAAGGCGATGCCGAGGTAAATCCACTGCGCTGTTCCCTGTACCAACACGTACTGTCTCGATCGGGGTGTTACAGAGGCGTCAAGTCGCCTTGGGAAAGGTGCCACCTGTATTGGGTACCTGGCTTGCTCCTGGATACCTGGGTGCCTACAAACAGGAAGGCCGCCTGGCTGACTCAGCGCCGCCAGAGCGCGCTCTGAACTGGCTAAGAGTCGATTGTTATCTTATCTGCAAGATCAAGTCAGCGAACCTTGGACCCTGGCAATCCCCTACGCCATCCGGCTCGGCCATACATCGTGGGAATCACTGGAGTCAAGGTGCCCTCAGTCTGAATACCTACGCGGGCTCCTTGCATCATACCGTCTGGGTCTGATCACAGCCGAGCGAGACTTACACAAGAGGTCGTATGAACACCCGGAAGACCAGCGTTCATTTTCCCACTCTCTATTCTGATCCTCACTGGTCCTACCTCTTTTCCTGCTGCCCGCGGTCGCTCTCTCGTCCCGAGTCCATTGGCTGGGTGAGTTATTGTTTCGTTGGTCAATATCGAGTCTTCGGGGCTGTTACTGCAGCTTCTTGAATAGCGCTGATGTGAATGGTTCTTTTAGAGTCCTGCTCCTTCGACGACACGTCTCCCTTCTCACGACCAGCCTCCTTGACCAGTACGAACGACCGGCCAACTGCCTGCTATCGCCAAATTAGAGGGTCGAGAAGTTGAGAAGAGAACACCTTCACAATAGCTCGCTGACACAAAAAATACCCAATCCTTTTCTCACTTCTTCTCCGACAACAAGGTCATCGCCAAAACGACGTCCTATTATGTCTGCCCAGCCAAATACTCCTCTGTCTCCTAAGACAGCCAGGGTCAAGTCGCCAGCCCCTGGGATGCCCATCTTTGGTTGCGGTTAGTTCAGCCCCTTTTTACCAGCAAATTGGAATGCAAACGTGATAGCTGCAGGAAGAGATCCCTGACCGGCCATAGAACACGTCCAGATGCTGCTGTCCCAGTCACAGGACACAACGAATCAGTCTGTTCACCACTACAAGATGATCCTCCGTAATATCTTTGAACAAACCCCACTGGTTCCACAGACGTCCAAGAACAATGATGGTCAACCTGTAACGTCGCTCACGGCCAACTACCTATGCTTGCAATGTTCGAGTATTGTGTCGGAGGAAGAGCGTCTCAAACACGGAAACAAAAAGCAGCATCGCTTTTGTAAGTTAGCCTCCAACACGCGCCCAGTTTTGCGCACCAAAATAATCTCCGCAGCTGACACGTCACAAGATGTTGACTCCAGAAGCGGGACTCTTTACTGTCAGATTTGTGATGACTTGGTCTGGGATCCCACTTTGGAAGACCTGAGAGTTAGAAAAATGGGCACTGGCACGTTCTCTAGTAAGCTTCATATTCAATACTTTTCAACAGAACATGTGCCGCGTACAAAGGGCTAATGCAGCGCTTTTACCAGATCGCAAGAGGAAACACGACGAGCTGTTCGCGGAAAGCCTAAAGGACAACCCTCTCTACATCAGCACAAACACCACAACCGCCTCATGTAAGGCAAACGGCCTTCGTGGAATTTACAATGCTGGTGCTACATGCTATCAGAACGTCGTGTTGCAGAGCTTCCTTCACAACCCTCTGCTTCGAAACTTCTATCTGAGCGATGGCCATCAAAGCACTGATTGTAGCTTGAGCAATTGCCTCAGTTGCGCCATGGACGACATGTTTCAGGATTTTTACGCCGTGGAGAACACGAACGGCTTTACGGCTGCTAGTATTTTGTCCGGCTTTTGGATATCTGAGAAGAAAGCGTTCGAAAATCTGGTCACCACCAAGGAGCAGGATGCTCACGAATTCTTCCAGTTTCTTGCAGAAGAACTCCACGAACGCAATGGTGACGGCAAGCCACCCGAGATTGGGAGCGAGCATAGTTGCAACTGTATCATCCATCAAACTTTCTACGGCAAGCTTCAGAGCACCACGACTTGTCAGAATTGTGGCGGGGTCACTAATGCTGTACAATCCTTTCTCGACCTCAGCTTGGGTCTCGACAACCTTGCGCAGCGAAGAGCTAGAAAGACGGGGCAGAAGCAACCTAGTCTTACCCTTCAAGAGTGTCTCGACGAGGAGTACGTGAAATCAGACAAGTGCGAGTATCGCTGCCACAATTGTGACTCCACACAACAGGCAAGGCGAAACACGAGCATCAAACGGCTTCCCAATGTGCTCGCCATCCAGCTCAAGGTATGTAGGACACAAGTAAGGAATATCTGCGCTTATCACTAATGACGCGCTGTAGCGATTCGAGTTCAAGCAAGGACGCCACGATAGGGCTCCGTCCAAAATTGACACGACAGTCAATTTTCCCTTGCAACTGAACATGCTCCCCTATACCAACAGAGCCAAGGGAAGTGATACGAAAGAATCCTTTGAGCTGGCAAGGTCATGCACGTATGATCTCCTTAGCGTTGTTGTTCACGTTGGCGAAATAGATACGGGTGAGTTGTCAAATGTTTGATGAAGTTATGAAAATGTGACTGATGAAAACATTTAGGTCACTATGTTTCTTATTGCCGAGTTGCCGATCAGTGGTTCAAATTCAATGACCACAAGGTTGAGATGGCCTCAAAGTCTGACGTCCTCAGTGCACAACCATACTTGCTGTTCTACATCATCAGATCCCTTTCCTGAGCCTAAAGCTCGTATCTTCTGCACGGCCACTCCGAATTCTTTGGGTACAGCCCATGAGGGCAAGGACTTTAGACGCTTTGCATATCACCGATGGCTGCGCGATAGAGCAGGCACGAGAGAACTACTACAGTCGGCATTTCACGGCGTTGGACAGGGCACACAACATTGCATACCAGGGTACAGGCCATCTGTTTGTATTGGAGTTTGGAGGACAGGCGGTAATCCTTATTGTACGTGAAACAGTGGCATTTGTGGGAAGATCTTCACAGTCTGTTCTCCAAATCATGTGCAGTCTCATGCACATACCGAATCACACATGGATGCATGCCACGGCATCACTGTTCTTGCCCACCTTCAGCCATTTGCTGCCACGTCCACAACCGACACTCGTAGCTGGCATAACAGCAGAACTCGTTGCTGAGCCCTCGCGCGTGTTTTGGTTCGAATGTTGTCAGTTTCACTCCGAACGACCTATACACCTTGGCGATGAGGTCTCGCATACGTTCGCCGGTGGAAACAATCACGCGACCCGTAGTTGTGACTCGAGGGCTAGCCAGCCATCGGACCGTCATAGCAGCTGCGAACACAATCAGCGAAACTTGCGTAACTATTTCAGGAGTTTCCGTCTCTATATCTTGAAAGGGTACGACTATACCTTTGGTCTGGCAGTCTTCGTTCAAGAATGGCGGATCGCAGACGATGCGAGTAACCGCTCCTTTGAGCTCGGCTTCCGAATGTTAGTGCTCTGGTGTCGTTCGCGTCAAGCCAAACAAGAAGCCCGAGGGCAAGCAGCTTCTTGTGGAAGATGGAATTGTTCCTACCTGGCAGTTTGAAAGGGTGAGCAAAGTCATACCATATGAACTCTGGGAACATCCTGAAGCGGTCGTCATGCTCTAACAGTATAATCTTAGGCTTTGGCTGTTCCGGACCATACTGGCCCTGTGGTCACAATAGTCAGATGCTTCGTCGACAACAATTATGACATGCTGCACATGTGACTTGCCAAGAGGTTCCTCAACGCGATAAAGACGCTGGGAGCTGAGACGACGGCAACTGTATCCGCCTCGTCGGCGTCACGAAGAAGCTCACCAGCATAAGCCAGTGCTGTTTCGTCCGAATACTGTAGGCCTCATCGGTTAGCCATCTCCCAAGGCTGGTTTCTTGAGCCGTGTAGCAGAATGTTGCGTAGCGACATTCCGTCAACTTTCACATACCCAGAATTGCGATTTGTTCCAGTCCTCTTCGAAAACAGACATGGAAAGTGGCACATTCCTCGCCGCATTTTCTTCAGCCTTTGCATTCAGCTCCTCAAAGCGCTTTTGATGCGCATCCTTTTCGGCGTTGAACTCTGCAAGCGCAGCAAGTGCGTGAGACGAAAGGGCACTGTGGGACGAATTTCAGTTCCTGACAGGATTTTGCCTAGAATTCGCAATACGACATACAGGGGCTCGTCGTCCGAATCATCCATTTTGCCGCTGTGTGTACTTGGGTAGACGAGGTGAGACGTCAGAGCAGGCTGCAGGCTCTTAATTCATTCACTTTGGTGTTGTTGCTTCCTGTCTGAAAGATGAACTTGCCTAAGTGGAGAAAATCAGTGGCCGAACTTACATAAGACAAGAACGTGGGATTTGTGAAGCCTGAAAGCTAGAACCCAGTGCACCTGCGACTCTTGCATTTCGAGGCAAAGAATGCGCATTATATTCCTTTCAAAATTCACAAACAACTCTTTCCACCAAGTCTTGTCACCTCAAATTGAATCAAGGGGATACAATCCGTCCTACTCCATATGGCAAGATCATTACTCGGGGACGCTTGCGAGCTGATTGACAGGTTTACCAAATCCTCGTCTCGCGGAAGTCACACGGTCACACTTATATTCACGATGATGCTGTGTTTCTGTTGTTCCTTTGGTCCGCTCTGTCTTCCATCCCCCAGCGCGTTCAGACGTCCGCGGGCAGACACGATTTTAATCAGCAGCCACTGTCCCTGCCGAGACCGGCAGTCTCATAACCCGCGCATTGTCGCGCGCGAACGATCATCTTGCCATGAATCAAGCGATATCCTCTCTTCCATTGAGGTAAGTTGACTAAGAATAAGAGACTTGTTTGTGAAGCGACACCTACTCTAAACCGAGTGATTATTTACAACCAGACACCCATTACACAACCCTTCCAACAAGGGCGCAAATGGAATCGCATCTCACAACTCATCGCCAACATGCAGATACTTTCGCTCCTCCCTCTTCTCCTTTTCAGTCGCAGGCGGCAAATCGTAGAAATTACCGCTACGAAACCCTTGCTACAATAGAGGTTAGCCACTGTATCAAAGACTGGTGCATCGTGATATACTGACCAGGTAGTGATATGTGAACTTGCTGATATCACCGGGCTCGATGCCGAGGTCCTTAAATGTCTTGGCCGTCTCATCAATTTCCTGATCGATGAACTCGCGCTCGATCTCGTCAGCAGACAATGTAGGCCACCATAGGGCCTTATTAAGAAGGCCGGCGATCGGCTTCAGAAGGCTTTTAGGGACGTTGATGTGGCGGCGGTGTTTGAAAATCTCCCGATCGACCATCTCCGCAATCTCAGACATGGCATACGTCTTGGGTCCGTGGAGCTCGAAAGTCTGTCCTGCAGTGTTGTCATCGTAGAGCATAAGCTCAAGAGCATGACCAACGTCGATAGACTAAGCGAGTTAAATACACTGCAGAATCTGGATGGGCAGATAGGCAGGTGGAACCTACGTGAACAGGAGCAAAGCGCTCGCGCATGTTGTTCGCCGTAAGAAGATTCAGAACGGAAGCAAGCTTCAAAAGAAGGTTGTCCTCGAAGCCGAACAGAGGAGCAGGCCGAACGATGGTGGTTTCGGGGTAAATGCTGCGTGCAATTTGCTCACCCTGGGCCTGTTGCATACCATATCAGTACCCGTACAGCTGTCTCCGATACATATCCAACGAACCTTGGTGCGGTAGAATTCGGAAGGCGAGTCAAGATTCGCGCTGTGACTAGAGACATGGATGTAACGGTCGACGTCGTACTTGGCCACGGCATCGACTATTCGCTTGGTACCCTCGATATGGACATCCTCTAGAGAGAAGTTTCTGTGCGAATCGTCAGCCAACAAGGCACGAGACGTGAACAAGGACAGGTGGGTGGTTGGTTGTACTTGGTGGGATAGTTTCGGCCGACCAGGTCGTAGACAACGTCTGAGTGCCTGACGCTCTGCTCAATTGATTCGGTGTTACGCAGATCGTATTCCTGCCAAAGGTCAGTCAGGTTATGCATTGGTATCGCAAGGGAAACATACAACAAAGACGATACGGCCAAGGTCACCGGTAACCTTGAGATGGCGTTTGGCCATTTCCTCGCGGAATGGCACAACGACGGTGCATCCCTGGCGAGCTGGAAAGCTGTCAGATCGAAGAATGGGTTGACATAGGGCGTGCGATCCTACCCAATCTGTTCACGATGTAGCGTCCTAGCTGGCCCGTTGCACCAAAAACGGTGGCTGTGTGGCCTGGAAAATCGTTAGAATGGCATCGTGCGCCTGTCAACAGATCGAGGACGTACCGCCGAGGGAGGATCTATACGAAGGAATCAGCAAAGCCCTCCCCAGCATTCAATTGACCTCGATGACTGACCTTCCGCCCTGGGTGCGTAGAATGGGTTTGCCAGTCCGGGTGATTGCAATATCGGAAATCGGCTGCCTTCGCAACAGGTTCTGAGCAACCTTAGGGGTCGACCGCACGGCGGTCTGAAGAGGAGCCATTTTCGAGTCCAGGCGAGGGCCAGACAGGGCAATTCGGTCCCAATTGATGGTGGCAATGCTGAGGTTCAGTCACAAAGCTCGCGGGACGATGCGCGCACTTCGGGTCATGAACCACGGGCTCGTTGATGAGCACGAACCAATGAACGGTCACGTGTTGGTAAAGGCTGAGAATGGTTGCTGACTCAGCCGTCACCATGGCCGGGACAGTGCTTCTCACAGAGACACCTGGTAAGACCCCACTAGCTACCTAGTCGGAGCTCTGCCAGGGAGGTACCTTCGACGTACCTTAGGTACCTAAGGTAGGAGGTACCTGCCTATCAACCAAGGCCTCACGTCAGGTACGACCAGGCTCCCGGCAGCCGCGTTGACAAGGTACCTGCGCCTAGGAGCGCACCTGGCTCCAGTACACACTTACCTACCTACCTTCTCTTACCTTCCTGGACAATCGCATCCACTGCCCAAGACTGCATCTCTGGCACACACTTCACAGTTATCGCCGGATTCTGGTCCATTCTTTGCAAACTGCACTTACTCGAGAAGACGTCTCCTCGCCGTAAGATCACCCACTCTGAACTCGCCATCCGATCACCGTCTTCCAGGAGCGAACTTATCCCTGACAAGACGAGAGCTTGCAGCTCTAGCCTAGCCAATATGAGTGCCGACACCATCTCCGATTTTCTGGCCGAGCAGCGCGACAAGGCTCCCGAAGAGCTTCAGCATAACATAATTCAGTTTGAAGATTACTGGGAACGCAAGCTTTGGCACCAGTTGACGGACTCACTGGGCGAGTTCTTCGCGCATCCTGGCAGCGCGCCTCAACGACTCGACTTCTACAAAGTATTCATTCTCAAGTTTGCCGACAAGATCAACCAGTTGAAGCTCGTGGACCTTGCTCTCAAGGCTGCCGACGAATGCGATGGTATGTTGCATGACTTGTCGGAAGCAAGCTGCAGAGTGATGCTGACAAATGATGGACTAGATGACGACGAGAAGCTTGCCTTCTTGCAAGGCGTTGCAACCAAAGTAGATCGTCCCAACTCACAAGATGCCTTTGTTTATGCATCTGTGGCTGTAGCGCGGGTTAAGCTCGATCTCGAGGATCTTGATGGCGCCCGAAAGGACCTCGACGCAGCGGAAAGGATACTCGATACCTTTGATTCGGTCGAGACTGTTATCCATGCCGCCTTTTACGATGCCAACGCCAGTTACTACCAGGTAAGAGATGGTCTATCCATGACTTCAAGCGACTGGTTGACTAATACGTCGTTCACCACCAGCGCAAATTGGACTTTGCCGCCTACTACCGCAACGCCCTCCGCTACTTGGCCTGCATTGACATCAGCTCGCTATCCGCCAACGAACGACATGGCCGCGCTCACCATCTGAGCATTGCCGCCCTCCTATCTGACAGTATTTATAACTTTGGCGAACTTCTGCTGCATCCAATTCTCGATGCTCTTAAGGACAGCAAGAAGAATGCTTGGCTGCGAGACCTTCTTTTCGCCTTCAACCGGGGCGACCTCGCCGCGTTTGACGTGCTCTACGGCAACATCACCTCCACACCTCTTCTCAATGAGCATGCGGACCACCTCCGCCAAAAGATTTATCTTGCTTCGTTGACGGAGACCATATTCCGCCGGCCACCGCACGACCGTGCCATGACGTTTGCCGACATAGCTAGCGAGACCAAGGTGCGCCCGGACGAAATCGAGCACCTTATCATGAAGGCGCTCAGCCTAGGCCTTCTCCGGGGCACAATTGACCAGGTGGACGGGATGGCCCACATTACCTGGGTGCAGCCGAAGGTGCTGGACCTGAAGCAGATTGGCAACATGCGAGACCGTCTGCTGGAATGGGACTCGAGCGTCAATCAACTGGGCAACTGGATCGAGGCAGCCGGAGGTGATGTGTGGGCTGCGTAGTGTTCGGTGAGAGCAGGAAGCAGGTAGAAATGATGCCATGGAACGTAACAGCAGGATGCATACGTGACTGTTGTAACATGTATAATACCTTGAAAACATGTACCAAGTGAGTTTGGACGCGCCTTGAGATAAAAGTCCGGTTTGGGCGGGCCAGTCTCATGAAATTACATTTTTGCTTCGGGCATCTCAAGTGGGAGCAGCGCACCAATGCAGTGGCGCCTTGTGGTGATGCCGAGCCTGATGACTGCATTGGGAAGTGATATCATTGATAGGCTTGAAGGATGCTGTTCTCAAGAAGTAGGCCCAAGAACCATCACCGACCCCGCGATCCACGCAGGCCACCAAACACACCAGATGACTACAGGCGTATACATGCCCCATACATTCCATCCAAATGCTGCGTTCCGCAACACCTCTCCAACATCTAGACCAAAGAAAGCTGTTGCGGAAAACATCACCGCCGTTGGAGACACGAGTTGCAACAGTGCCGAAGATGCATATCTGGCGAAGTCGTTCTTGGGCCATGGTTGCACGAAGGTCAAAGGACTGGCGAGCAGCCCAATGAAAAATGCAAGCGAGAAATTTAACGTAGCCAGAGCCGACAGGAACATGCCCAGCAGAAGCAGCGAGAAGCATTTGATGAGCTGATAGTGCTGCAAAGTGGGCTGGTATGCTGTCTTTAAAATGAAGGATAGCACTGAAGGAAGAATACAGTTCAGAACCGCAAAAGCTGAGAAAGCCACGGAGAGCAGCTGCCATCTGGTTAGCTGGAATATAACGCGAAACGGAAGTAGCTCTTACGTTTGCTGGCAGATGGTTGAAAAGGAAGAGAGGAAAGACCCCTAGGAACTGGCTTATCGTCACAGCCAAAAGGGGTACGAAGAGTTCTCTTTGAACCGTTGTTGAGCCGGCTGAACCAGGGCCTGACCCAGATTTCTGTGAACCATCTCCAGGCTCCCGGTAACCGCTCTTGACCCAGAAGAATATTGACATGATGCTGAAGTTTGCAGCAAGAATCATGGCACTGGGCAGGTATGTGCCAATACTAACGAAGCGATCCTTATTCATAAGCAGGTAGAAGAAGAAGCTTTGGTGCAGGTGTTCCAGCAAGTTGTTGAGGCTACGGAACGACCCTTCAATGAGACGGCCCATGGCCATTTCATCTTGCCACCCATCGCCAAAGGGCTGAAGTGTAACAGCATCAACGTGATAGGGGATGAAGCTGCTGTGGGGACCAGACGCATAGCCTAGGCCCTGCTTCAGCATTCCGCGAAGCATAGTACGCAGGCGGTCATTATACTTGTCGGAGTGTTTCCACATATTTTGGATGAGTGTTGGCATGTGCATCTGACCGTTGGAAATACTGTTAACGGCATTGATGAGATCCAGGTTGGGGAGTTGGCCGTTCACTCCGTCATAGACGATGTGTATGTTCTTGAAACGATGCTCTTGTGCGAAATCGATGGCGATAGCACCCTGTAGTGCGCCTGATTTGATTGGCAAGGACGCAACTCGCGCCGGATCATGGGCGTCATGATAAGCATCCACCCAGGCTTGCGTCCCGGTTGTACTGTCTGGTGGCATGACCAGGATTATGTCTTTGGACCATAATGACCATCGTTTGAAGTAGCGCGCCAGTGTCAATGCAAGTGGCACCCCTATAGTATTGCGCATCCCATCAGTGTTCTCCCAAGCTGCGACGAGGACGATGGCTTCGGTAGCGTCGCCGCGGGGGGCTTGTAGGATAGCGTAAAGGTTTTCGCCGGCATACTCAAATCCCGACGACTCGTATGTGTAATTTTGACGGCCAACCTTCATGCCAAAGCTTTGAAGCAGGGCTTCCAGGTAATTATTGATCCTGCAGTACTCTGTTAGTCTCAAGACATACTGGGTGGATGTGGCTGCATGGGCCATACTCGTAATTACTCTTGCCCGCAAGCCCATCAATTTCGTGCTTGTATCCTCGGAAGACATTTTGATCGCTACCAGCGAAGTAAGTGTGCACCTGGCCAGGGAGCAACGCATTCTCGGATATATATGTCCTTCGCGAGTAATCGTTGAGTGGCAGAAGAAAGAGCCAAGCTATCCCTCCAATAATGCAGAGAAGGGATAGATATGGAGGCAGCTTGAGTAGGCGAGGGTCGCGTCTGATGGAGAGTGCTGAAGCTGTAGACAATCGCGTCAGTAAGGTGTAGCCGGTTCAAGAGGGTGTTGTTGGAACGTAAGGCTATGGACGTACAGATAAGGCGCGACATGGTGTATATCTCTAGGAGGTATTCCCTCCAATAACACAAAGACAGGTAGCGCCTCGATGAAGATGTGTTTGACAATGCAGACCAGGACTAGGATTGATGATAACAAATCCTGTTAACGCTTAAACAACGACAGGTCGGATAGTGGTGGTGCCAGTACTTAGCCCAGTGTCGGTTCTAGATCTACGACACGTTGAGTTGGCGTAGTGTTTTCAATGCCTACCTACCTAGGTAGGCTTGGTAGGCCAGCAAGACAAGACCACTTTCCGTTGTCAGGGGTCCCCGCCTGCCGTGCATCTACTCCCTGCATTGACAGACATACACGAGCCCCACGTTTTTGACCAGCATGTGAGATCCCATACCAGCAGATGCTTATAAGCGGTGTAGTAACACACGGATCTGAAAACGCGACCTGCATTCGAGAGCTTAGCCAGCTAACCAAGGTACTGGCAAGTGGACCAAAAAAACATTACATTGTATGCCACGATCCACTGCTTCGATGCGTCTCATTAAAGCGCCGCCATCCCATCAGTAATGCTCGGAGTCCAGGTGAAATAGACCCAGTCCAGTTACTGTCATCCGCCACAAGACTACAACCAGTTGTGCGGACCATCGCGGGTGCGCCGAGGAACAAGTATTTCGCAAAACGATCTATCCCACAACATATCCAACTCCGCAAACGCCTGAAACTGAGGTAAACCGGAACGACAACCGAGCGCAAAGGTCGATGTGTACATTATGATTGCAGCTTGTGGCAAGTCGTGTGCTCGTGATTGCCTAAGCTCCTAATCGCTGCGATGACCCGACGAGAGACATCGGCACATTATTGCTGGCGTGCCCACCTGACGGCAACAAACCAAAACGGCCGTAGGTCTTCTGATCCACGCTGACGTAGTGCGGGAGACGCCCGAGAAGATTCAGCTTTGCTTCCACCCAGCGCAGAGCCCATTCAGGGGGTGCAAGGAACTTTAGATAGCCGAGTCCAACTATGTCAGGCTTGTCAGTAAAGCTTGAAATTTTCAGCCGTGGAAGGAGAAGGGGACTTACAAAGGTAGCCTACCCCGAGACTGCATAGATGGCCTAAGAGGCTGGTACCAGGTACAAGCGCTGAAACCACTACAGCTACGATCAGCGGTATTGTCCATGTCGGTATCTTCCACGTGCCAATTGTCAAATGAGGGTTCGTCTTGTATGTCCGAATAGCTTCAACACCAAGGAGAAGGAAGACCCAGATGCTGCAAGTGTTTGTTAGCATCACGCATATGTGTTGTCGCATCAGTTGGGTGCATCTCACCTAGCCCCCATGACCGGAGTGTTTCGTCGGAGAATAAGCAACTCGATAATGGTATAGGCAACGGCAGGAATAGTTGTCAGAGCTGGCATCGGGTCAGTCGTGTCCCAACGGGAAGTCGTCCTGAGGCTGTCTTACGGCCGATGAAAAGGGATATCGAGGTTAAAGTGCCAAACTCTGATTCAAATCGGTCCATCAATGGCGTTAGAGCCAAAATATTCAAGATTGTGTGTATGAGATTGACATGAATAAAAGGAAAGGTATTGATCCGGTAAGCTAGACGAAACGTGGTAGGCTTAGTCGGCGTATCCTGATGGCAAAAGGTTGACGTGGGAACAAACCTGAAGTGAATGATAGCTGGTCAGGGACCAGTGACCCCCATTGCCGGATATCCCATGTTGACTGCAATCCTGCAGCCCAAGCCAGAACAACAATCAGAATTACGAGGCGTGTGAAGAGCGGCAAACGTTGCACGAAGGTTCTAGCGCGTGCCGTGTTCAGCGACGAATACACGGAAGACGCCATCGCGCCGTATCTTGTCGAGTGACGGAGGCCTGCCTGGCTATTGATGTCGATCTAGGCTGCTGGCGAGTATCCGTAGGTCGAATGGTAGTCTAAACCGCAGGCGGCAAGCAAGACTCCGATCGCTATCAGAGTGTACGTATTGGCAGTAATCGACAAGGCTTGTGTCGATCGTCCGGTGCAGAAGTATAAAGAGTAGTCGAGTGGAGGAGGCAGCCGTGGATGCAACACAGAGTTCTTCTCAGAATCCGATGCAGCCGATCAGGCAACTGAAGAGTGGATGCTTTAGGCGGACAGACCGTGCTGCATTGAGCTGTTCCACACGTCTACCTAGGTAGGTACCTTAGTTGTAGGTGGTGTCGCTCATCAAACCGATATGCCAATAGCGCATCCATTGAAGTTACGATTGGGGTAGATGCATAATCAAGCTCGTGTCCATCTTCAATTAACGTTGGTCTTGTGCTAAAGCATTATCTGACACGACTGCTTCGCTGGCTCACGGAATACTATGTACTGGCATGACGGCAATTTCCAGGGCGAACGAAGTAAAGGCCTTAAAAATAAATCAATGCTCCCTTTTGTACAAACAGGAAATCATCGGACTACATAAGGGGACAGAAACCTATATCAGCTCCCCGGCAGACCAATCGACCACGAGGGGCCATATTCATCCTCCTAAACCGAACTTCAGTCCAAACCGGCACCCCAAAGCATGCACGTAGGTATTTGCGCCGTGAACAAACACGATAATAATCATCATCTCGGACACCCTGCCCTGCCTGCTTCTCCTATCCACAGGTATTTTACGCCTTGGCAGCCTTGGCCATGGTGTTGAGGGCGCTGCCGTTCTTGAACCACTCAATCTGGGGCTCGTTGTAGGTGTGCAGCAGCTTGACTTCGTAGGCCGCGCCGTCCTTGGGGTGCACAACCATCGTCATAGGCTGACCGACAGCAATGCTGGTGCAGAGGATGTCGACCTTTTCAAAGTAATTAGCAAACCGCCTTAGAAAAAGTACATTGGGTGATGTGTAAACATACCTTGTCATCAGGCTTAATCTTGTCGTAATCGGCAGGGTCGGCGAAGGTAAGAGGAAGCATGCCCTGCTTCTTCAGGTTGGTCTCGTGGATACGGGCGAAGCTGCGGGTGATGATGGCCAGTCCTCCAAGGTGCCTGGGCTCAAGAGCAGCGTGTTCGCGAGAGCTACCCTCGCCGTAGTTCCAGTCGCCGATGACAACCCACTTGATGCCCTTGGCCTTGTAGTCACGGGCAACAGCAGGAACGGCACCAAACTCGCCCGTGGTGAAGTTCTTGATCTTGTTGGCCTCGCCGTTGGCTTCGTTGATGGCGCCGATCAACATGTTGTTGGAAATGTTGTCCAGGTGGCCACGGTATTTCAACCAGGGGCCAGCCATGGAAATGTGGTCCGTGGTGGTCTTGCCCTGGGCCTTAATGAGAATGGGAAGATCAGTGGCATCCTTACCATCCCAAGGCGTGAAGGGCTCAAGAACCTGGAGACGGTCAGAGGTAGGGGAGACCTGGACGTTGACAGAGGCACGGTCCTTGGGAGGGGCCTGGTAGGTGTCTTGTCCGGGGTCGTAACCACGCTGGGGGAGACCATCACCAGTAGGGGGAGACAACTTGAACTCCTTGCCGTCCTTGTCCTTGAGGGTGTCGGTAAGGGGGTTGAAGTGCAGGCTACCGGCAATTGTCATGGCGACAACGAGGTCAGGGGAGGTGACGAAAGAGTGGGTGGCGGGGTTGCCGTCGTTGCGACCGGTGAAGTTGCGGTTGTATGACGAGATAATGGAGTTGGCCTCGCCCTTCTTCACGTCCTGACGATCCCACTGGCCGATACAGGGACCACAAGCATTGGCGAGGACCATGCCGCCGAATTCCTCGAAGGTTTGGAGCTGACCATCACGCTCAATAGTGGCGCGGATCTGCTCGGAACCAGGAGTGACAGTGAAAGCAGCCTTGGCCTTGATACCGTGGTTGAGAGCGTCACGGGCGATGGCAGCAGCACGAGACATGTCCTCATAAGAGGAGTTGGTGCAAGAACCGATGAGACCAACCTTGAGCTCCTCAGGCCAGTTGTTGGCCTTGGCAGCCTCAGCAAACTTGGAGATGGGGGTGGCCAGATCCGGGGTGAAAGGTCCGTTGATGTGGGGCTCGAGCTCAGACAGGTTGATCTCAATCAGCTGATCATACTGAGCACCCTCGTCCTCCTTGAGCTCGTGAGCATAGGTGCGAGCGAAGTCACCAATGTCCTTGCGCTTGGTGGCTGCCAGATAATCGTACATGCGGTCGTTAAAGGGGAAGACAGACGTCGTCGCGCCGATCTCAGCTACAGGTTGTTAGACCGCTGTCCAGGCACCTGGATTGGAGCTTTGCAAGTGAACGTACCTCCCATGTTGCAGCAAGTCGCCATGCCGGTGGCGGAAATGGTGTTGGTACCAGGGCCTACGTAAAATAAAGTCAGCCAAGATCTCTCGTACTAATCGTGCTGTTCTCGTGAGGGATGAAGCTTACCGAAATACTCAACAATGGCACCGGTGCCACCCTTGACAGTCAAGATGCCAGCGAGCTTGAGAATGATGTCTGTGAGCCATGTTAGTGACTTGAAATTCTCTCAGAGGAGAAAGGGATTCGCCTCGTGGGCTGTCTTGTGCAACGGTTGACCACTAGGCGATACGTCGTTGCAATGCCAACAAGACAAGGGATTATGCACATAAATGTACGAGGTCCCGCCCAATGCGCTAAGAGGAACCGAGGATGGATGGGGGTATCGACTGACCCTTGGGAGAAGTCCAGCCGGACAGCTCGCCAGTAAGCTTGACACCAATGACGTTGGGTGCCTTCAGCTCCCAGGGGAGGTTGGCCATGACATCGACAGCATCGGCACCTCCGACACCGATGGCGGCCATACCGAGACCGCCACCGTTGGGAGTGTGCGAATCAGTACCGATCAAGAGACCACCGGGGAAAGCGTAGTTCTCAAGAAGAATCTGGTGGATGATACCGGAACCGGGCTTCCAGAAGCCGATGTTGTACTTGGCGCAGGCGGAGGCAAGGAAGTCGTATACTTCCTTGTTGATGTTGACGGCGCGCTCAAGATCCTTGGCGCCTCCAATCTGTGCCTCAATCAAGTGATCGCAGTGCACAGTGGTGGGGTTGGCGACAGAAGGCATGCCGGCGGACATGAACTGGAGAATGGCCATCTGCGCAGTGGCATCCTGACACGCGACGCGGTCAGGGCGCAGCTTCAGGTAAGAGGACCCGCGCTTGATGTCCTGCTCGTGAGGGTTGTCGAGGTGAGAGTAGAGAATCTTTTCGGCATAGGTCAAAGGCCTGTTAAGACGGCTTCGCACAATTGCGAGGTTCTCCGACATCTTCTTGTAGTTGATGAAGTTGTTGTCTTCCCAGTTGTTTTGCTTGACCTGATGAGGTGTCAACACTGCACGCCATGCTAGCACGCATGCTTGATCGCGAACATACCTTGCGGTCGAGCGGGGAATCAGAAACAGTGGCCATGCTGCGGCGCAGACCAGTGCTGCCAACGGCAGCAGTGCGGCTCCGGGCGACGTTGCCCAGGAGCTGTCGTGAGGCCATCATGACTAGGACGGGTGGGGGAGAACAGCAGCTCAAGCTGGTCGGAGGGGGTCAATTGAAAGGGAGTAGTGAGGTTGTAGACCGTCACAGAAGGCGACAGTAAATCAAGACACCCTGACCTGGAGAGTCGTTGATTGAACCGATGAGAGTCTGGGGGGAGGAGGGGAGGGAGAGGTTGAAAGGGAAGAAGAGAGAGAGGTTTTCCGGCGAGGCCAGAAGAAGTACCAAGGGCTCCAGCGAGAACTGGCCCATCAGCCGGCTGCGATGGCTATTCGCACAGGCAGGCGACACTGGACAGGGTGGATGGTGGTTGCCGCGCCGGGGCTAGTGGCCCAGGGGGTGGATCTGTTCGGCTATGACGATGGCGACGGCGGCCCAGTCAACCAATCAGAGGCGGTCGATTATTTTCACTCTGCGCAGAAGCTCCCATTTGCCTCAAGTCTCCCTGGCTCTTCTCCAACTTGCACAATACCGCCACCCCGGGCGTTTGGCTCCCGCGTTATATCCCTCCAAAGAAACGGTTTCTTCACTGATTGCCGCAATTTGGCCTCGGAAGCATCGCGATACCTCTCACTAAACATGAACACTCAGTCGGGGTCTGCCCCTGTGGCCATTCTTCTACAACAGCCTAGTCTTGGGTACCTTGTGCTCTGTCCTGACAGCTGGCTTGCTGATTCTGGGCAGTGGGAAAAACTCCCTGTCCGGACAGTCTCCCCAAAACTGTTACGGAAATATGGCTTCTCAATATCTGCTAAAGACACGTCATGGTGGTGTTAATATCCCGCGGCAGGAGCCCCGGCACACCAACACGGCGGAGGGGAAGTCTGGCGCCCTCCGTAGCCTGTCTGAGATCTTGACCCTTCAGGTTTGAGCGCGATGCGAGCATATGAATGTAAGGACTACGTCACTTGGAAACACCTCGGTATATTCAGTACGTTTGGTCTCAAGAGCGAGCGCGTGCGCATCAACGCGGACTGCTGAATCACTCCTCATCGATGCGTTCGATGCTGTTGATGCGTTCAATGTTACTTGCTTCGAACCCCCAGACACGGTACCATCTGTTGCGAGCAGCAGCTTTGTGGTCCCTCGGCTTTACTCGGTTCACGACGAGGGTCCCGTTTTCCAGTGCGTGTAGGCTCCACTGGTTCCTGAGAAACCCCCCGTCCTTGCGTTCCAGCCACACGCCTGCTTCCCATCGCGCGAAATCCGAGATTCTTTTCTCCATTGCGGGAGCCTGAGCTCGGAGCCAAGGTTGGGCGGCTCGGCCGAGGTGACTTATCTCCTATCAATACGGGCCTTCGCCCGACCCCCTGTTCGAATGCGAAGTTTTTGGCGCTGTTTCTGTTGTCCGGGATCACCGAGCCTGCATCTATGCTCCGCGGGAGGTCTTGACAGGTAGCTCGACTTCAAGCGCATTTACCTGAAGCTTGATTGGGTTTCCATTATTGTGCCTTGCAATCACATGACCCCACCACGGGACACTCCACTCCGCCCAAGAGCGCACCTACACCACCCCCGTTACTGCATTATCTGGCTGCCCTTTACGATAAGCCTCTGTCAGGAAATCTCCCCACCATCGGGCCCCTGCTGGTCCACTAAATTTTTCCGTAACTGATTTATCGTCAACCTTACTCTCTTTACTGGTGAAGAGCCAGCGCGCCAACCGTCATATGAAAGTTGCCGTTGCGTCCAAAAAATCACGTACCTCCCTTCCCCTATGCCATACTGAAGGAATTCGCAATGGGTGTCACTGCTCATAGGACGATTACCAAAACGAGACGGAAGACCAGGCACGTTACTCGACCACACACTGCGCCTTTGGTAGACTAATGTTCTGGCTGCTACTAGGGATCTCGACCAAATCAAGGCAGACCTCTTGTCTCCCCAACATCTCCGTCAATACAAAGAGACCAAGGCGACTGAGGATTTGCCCGCCCTCGGCCAACACTATTGCATCGAATGCGCGAAGTGGTTCGACACAGAGACCAACCTCGTCAGTCACAGGAAGGGCAAGCCTCATAGGCGCAGGTATGTCACAATAGCTTATGCTTCCTTTTTGATACCTGCCCATGCAATGCCGAACAAAATTCTCGACGCACGAACGCCGACTGATTGCGCACCCTACCAGAGTCAAGGACCTCAAGGAGGAACCCTACAGTCAGAAAGAAGCCGAGGCTGCGGTAGGCCTTCGTACGGACAATACGGGACCGAGCAAAAAGAACGATACTGTCGAAAAGGCTCCAGATCACGAGGTCGAGATGGCCACCTGAGTCAGCATCCAGCATCTCTCTCAACACGACCATCACTCTTTCCACCCTCGGAACATGTCCCCAGGTTGGACAGAAACAATGAGTGGCGCAACAGTGGCACATATTTTGCTGTGGCGAGAGCCGGCAGCCGCCCCTGCGAAAGCATGCTTCAGCCAGATGCTCCGTTTCCACAGACCGAATCGCGGCGATTTACCAGGAAGCAGGGCCCTCATCGAACCCCTCGACCTCTGGGTAATCCACTGCTTCGACCCCTTTGTATTCCGGAAGCCACACGACGCCCACCTCCGGTCCCTCGGGTGGATGCAGCGCCCCGGGCTGAAGGGGCTGGCACTCGCGAAATCGAGGGCTCTGAGGGTTTATGCCTTGGAACAGGCCTGGAGGATGGTGGAGGGTTGTCGATGAAAGACGTGTCGGTAGTCCTAAGGTCAAATCAGTTGTGTCACTCTTGTCAATGCATAATGACCCACAACTAACATGAACGTTGTTTCTCCATCATCGTCGCCTCGTCCGGGCCTTTCTGGGACGGGGTCAGTTGCTTTCGTTTCGTCAGCTTTTGTGACTCTTGCGTGTTCTTGATTGCGAGATGATACTGCTTACCTTGCAAATCGACATGTTGCCTATCTCGGCGGAATGATTCGGCAACAGGCCCTTCAGGAAAATCGACACAAAAGGCATTCATATTCAACCCGTAAAGGAAACTCGCGAACGACTCGCTGAAGCGTGACAAACTTTCATGCATGAGCTGAAAGTGCATCATGTTGGCCTCCAAGTCAGCCATGGCATCAGAGAGCTCGGCAAATGCAGGTTCGAACGTGGCAAGAGGAAATGCATCAGCATTTGGTCCGGTGCTCGCTCTTGCTGATTCGCGAAAGGAGGAGCGCGAGGATGGGCGCAATGGTGTAGTCGGCCGTGATGTTCTCGAACGAGACGTAGATCGCCCACGCGCATTGTTATGGGGTTCGCTGGACATGATGGGAGACGCTGGCGTGCCGCGCTGGCTGGGGCTGGCTGGGGCTGTGTTTGTGGTGTCAAGACTTGCAGCGGCAGACGAACCCTCGTCGTTGTCACTTATTGACCAGTGCCGCCGACGCCTGCTTATTCGCTACTGGTCGATGCTATAGCAAAGCGAACCTCGCAGGTGGTGGGGTGTCGCGTTCGACAAGAAGAACCACGGAGGGGTGGAGTTCCTGGTGGGGGGTCCCACAGATGATTGGACGTTTTGTGCAATCAAGGGTGTCGCGCAACATGAGCCACTTGGAGTTCTCAGTTTAGTCGATTGAGCTTGTGGCGTGGTTTTATTCACGTCACCGAATGCAGTGCACCAGCATGATCTGATTGATCCCAGTGACAGGAGAGTAATCGGGTTTAAATGGCAAGAGATTCATAGAGCTTGCTCGAGAACAAACCTGGGCAAGTGCTACAAAACAGCCGGAACAACTCTCCCCCGCGTTCACTAATTCCCAGTACCTTCACTTGCTGCAACAATTGATAAATGCCATTGGTTGAGGAGCTACCTGTCACAACCCTGGACAGATTCGCCGGGGTTGAAACCTATGGACATCAGAATATGTTCCGTGTCCTAGGCTGAGCTGAGCTTCATCTTCTGAAACTGCTCGATCGTCTTCTCGTAATTCTTGGCCGCTGACTGAGCATCGGCCAGCTTCTTCCTCTCTGTTGTTAACACAACATCACTTACCTTGTCCTCAAAACCGTCCTTGGACATAAGTTCCTGTTGCTTCTTTGCAGCGCCTTGACTCTTTTGTAGCTTCGCCTGGATTTTCTTGATCTCCGCATCAATGTTGTTGAGGCGAGAACCTAGTTCAAGGAAAACAGACAGATCCGCCGTAAGGACAAAGACAGCGCATCCGTTCGGAATGGCGCCCTCTTGAGCTTCCGGGCCTACAACTTGCAACTCTGCAATGCCTTTGCCGCTCAGAGACTTGATTGCGGCCACTTGCTCGTTGATCTTGATATAGCTGTCGGTAGTCGAAGCCTTGATAAAAGCACGGCCGTCTGCCCGCACGTTGTATTCAGACGTCAACGAACGAATACCCTGGGCGCAGCTCAGACCCAACTCGTATTCGCGCGCGTCAGTCTCAAACTCTAGGCTTGCGTCAAATGCGGGGTAGGGGGCCAGCATGATCGTCTTCGTAGTATCGTTCTCCCTCTTGGGAAGGCGCTGCCACAGCTCCTCGGTGATGAACGGCATGAACGGATGCATGAGGCGAAGGGCGACGTCCAATGCAAGGAACAGGGTCTGTTGGGCGCTTGACTGCGCCTCGGGTGACCCGTCAGAAAGGATAGTTTTGCTGTTTTCCTGATGATTGAGTTAGTACAAGTCTCAACGCAACGGGATGAGGCGACTTACGATGAAGATATCGCACAGCTCGTCATAGAAGAACCTGTTCCAAGTTTAGCTTGCGCTGCCTGGTATTGCGCCAGCGAACTTTGCTCACTGGTATGCAAACTGTGTGCTCTTTGAAAATTCCCGAGCCTCTAGTGTGTCGTTGATGCCCTTGACTGCGACATTCATGCGGTGCAAGATCCATCGCTCCGGAATCGATAGCTTGGCGGTGTCAAGTTTGGTCACAGGAACAAAATCCTGAGGAAGACGACCAAGAACATACTTGCTTGCCTGCCAGATTTTGTTGCAGAAGCGGCGATAAGCGTGCATGACCTTGATGTCAAAATTGATGTCACCACCTAGGCTTTGTAAGTATATGTGGTAGATATTAGGGGAATTGTACCAGTTTGGTTGTGCTTACCGCCAGTGGTGTACGAAATGAGTGTTAGTCGCAGGGCATCGGCGCCACACTCTGGGATGCCGCCGGGGAAGGCCGTCTTCTGATACTTGATCGCTCTGCTGATTTCGTCTTCCTTGAGATTGCCAACATGGAGCTTGGCATGAAGCTGATCGAGCTCTATGCCGCTAATAATGTCAAGGGGATCGATGACATTGCCGAGCGACTTGCTCATCTTGCGTCCTTCAGAGTCGCGAATGAGACTGTGGCAGTAGACTTCTTTGAATGGCACGCGACCAGTGAGCTTGAGGCTCAGCATGATCATACGCGCTACCCAGAAGAACAGAATATCCCATCCAGTCTCGAGAAGGTTGGTAGGGAAGAACTGCTTGAAATCCGGACTCTCAGTGTTGGGCCATCCCAAGGTGGACATGGGCCACAGCCCAGAGCTGAACCAGGTGTCAAGACAGTCAGGGTCTTGCTCCAGGTGAAACTTTTTGGAACCGTATTTGGCAGCAGCCTTCTCCTGCGCCTCTTCTGTGGTTCTTCCCACAACCCAGACAGAGTCGTCGCCCTCGGAAGCGTCCTCGCCCTCGAACACCACACGGTATGCTGGGATTCGATGACCCCACCTGCCACCAAGGTCAGTAAGAAGAGCACAACGCCTTGGTATGAAGAAACTTGCCAGAGTTGCCTGGAAATGCACCAGTCGTTGATGGAAGCCATCCAACGGCGGTACGATTTGTTGGCACTTTCAGGGGAAATTTTGACCTCGCCGCTCTCTACGACCTTGAGGGCAGCATCTGCCATGTCCTGCATCTGCATCCACCATTGAGGCTTGATAATAGGTTCGATGACGTCCTTCGACTTCTCGCACAGGGGAATCTTCATGGGGTTAGGCTCCTTCTTGACGAATAAGCCAAGTTTTGTCAGTTCTTCGACAACAGTATAACGAGCATCGAAGCGCCTCTGGCCCTCGAACCGGCCAGCATTTGCATTCAACGTGCCGTCATCGTTCAGGATGTTGATGAACTCTAGCCCATGCGTCTTGCCCATTTGGTAATCGTTAGGATCGTGCGCAGGTGTAAGCTTGACGGCACCAGTACCGAACTCTGGGTCAACGAACTTGCTGTCGGCGACGATCTTGAGGCGGCTATGAGGATACGTCAGCTGCAGGTCGGGGTTTTGATCCAGTTGCTGATGAATGTATAGGGAGGAGGTCTTACCGGTCAACGAATGGATGCTTGGCATATTTGCCGATCAGGTGAACATAACGCTGATCGTCAGGATGCACGGCAATGCCAGAATCTCCGAACATAGTCTCAGGACGAGTTGTAGCAACCTCAATGGTTTCATCGCTGTCCTCGATCTGGTATTTGAAGTGGGTGAGGACTCCAAACTCTACCTTCCGCTCATAACCGGGCACGCTCAGCATGGTGCGGCCAGTGATTTCTTTATTCTCAACTTCGAGAGTGCTGAGCGCTGTGTTCAGGGCGGTGCACCAGTTGACCAAGCGGCTGGAGCGGTAGATGAGGCCCTCGTCATGGAGACGGCAAAAGGTCTCAGCAGTGGCAGCACTCAGGTTCTTGTCCATAGTGAATGCCTCGCGGCTCCAATCCATGCTGCCACCCATCAGCTTCTGGGCGTTGTTGATACGCTGATGATATTCGTCCTTCCAATCCCAGACCATTCGAACGAAGCCCTCGCGACCAACATCGATGCGCGTCCTCTGCTCTTTCTTCCACAGCATCTTCTCCACCACTGATTGAGTCGAGATGCCGGCATGATCGCAGCCAGGGACCCACAATGTGGTGAAACCCCTAATGTCAACGGAAACCCCATGTCAGTCCAAGGCATACATCTCGACGCCGTGTCGCACCAAGGGATACAACATACTTCATGCGATGCCATCTGATGAGAGTGTCCTGAAGGGTATTGGCCAGTGCGTGGCCGCAGTGCAAGGCACCGGTGACATTCGGCGGCGGCAAGGGGATAACGAAGGTCCCGGCCGCATCAGCGCCCTGCTTGCTGGCCTCAGGCTTGAAGAAGCCGCTTTCCTCCCACCATTGGTACCAGGCAGCCTCGACAGCACTAGGGTTGTACGCGGAAAAGTGAGGGTGTTTAAAGGAGTGAAGAACCTTCTTCTGGCCGGCAGCCGTGTCGTTCTGGAAGGGCGGAAGTGTAGGAGTTGGCTCGACCTTCGGTTGTGACTTTGGTTTCGCCGTGTTCTCCTGCTTTTGTTTGTTCTGCTTGGCAGCGAACTTGGCGGCCTTCTCGGCAGCCTTTTCAGCCTTTAATTTCTCCTTTAGCTCTGTGATCAGGGGCGAAACATTAGCCAGTTGCCAAAATAGCCGTCAAGGTCAGGGTGGTGGTCGACGGAGCATAACGAGGTAGGATAAGGGACAGTGATCTACCGTTCTTGGCAGGACCTGAGGGTGCCGCCATGTTGAGGTTTCGAGTCGCACTTGCATGCAACAAGTTGCTTCGAAAGAGAATAATTGGGTGCGGACTGAGAGCTGAACGGTGTTGAAGTTGGGCAAGGCGGCGGAGGGGTAACCACGGCATATATCGAGTCGATATGTGGATGACTCAAGGGGAGTTTTTGGTCGGCGCGGGGTGAAAAACTGCAGGACAGCCTGCGGGCGGGATGCAATGTGGAGGGAGGGGTCCGATCGAAGCGGCAAGGTGATGTACCTAAGGTAGGCAGATAGGCAGGCAAGGTTGGCAGGCAGGTAGGGTAGCTCGCCTTAGTTGCTCGTTGGTGCAGTACTTGTGTGGCGGGCTGTCCTCGTGGAGTGCAGTGAGTCAATGTTGGGGCATGGAGGGGCTACTTGATAGGTACCTAGGCACAATAGGGTAATGCAAGATGCACCAATGCAGAAGTTACAAAAGGCTGGCTGTAGCGCTCACGGTCGTCCATTCGAGCCGAGAGTCTTGCAGCGGGGTAGCACAGGCTTACTGGTCAAAGAGGGTGACAAAACAAGTCACACCCATCAAGGGTGAGCTTACTTCGAACCAATATACTATGTATTAAGTTGCCTCAAAACTAATAGAAATACATCCATCCTTACACATATCACCTATCATGTATTATATAGAGTCTCAGAGCATTTAAAAGCCATCCGAGGTGTTGAAAAGGTTCCGAAGTTAGGGGTCTGTCTGGATGACACCTGTGTTTGGCAGGTTCGGAGTAAGATTTAATGTCACCCACCCCCTTGGGCGCCTTGGTGTTCTTGACTAACCTGCCTACCAGGTAACTGCGTGCGTATTGTAGGCTCCACACTCTCCTAGTCTTCTGTAGTCATACAATCACACACAGACACACGAACCGCACACCTCTCTTCTCTCACGCCAATCGGCTCGTCTTCACTCCAGGCAGGTCGTCATAAACAACAGTACGACCTTATATCGCGTCTCCGGGCCTTGTCTTGTTATTGCTGACTTTTCTTCTGGAAGTTCTTTAGCATCCATCCCTGCTCTTGCATCGCTGAGAAGCTTGTGTTTGGACTCGACGTAGAGATTGTGTTTGGTGTTGGAGTGGCCTCGTCACCTTCATTGAGTCAAGCTGCAAGCTCCGCCGGACCTCATTTCGCCAAACCTCCATGAGCATCAACCTCACAAACCTGCCCAAGCGCTTATTGGCCCGTAGTCAACCGCGTTCGCTGATTCCGGCTTCTCCGAGGCCTCATCTGCGCTCACTCTCACGCCCCCAAAACCGCGCTGTCCGCCTTACGCCAGGAGTCGCATGCGCTCCCAGGGTGTATCGCCAATTCATTCATCCTGAGCAACTTGAATCTCGCCTCGACTTGCTTGCCTTCTCTGCCACTCTTCTACTGATTTGTGTTGGAGTCAGCTTGGGCGACTACTGGGTGGAACAGGAACCATCACAGGCACCCGCGCAAGACGTAGCTGTCATTTCCGAAAAAGATATCATGGGGCAAGAGGCGCATCCAGGCCGCCCGGGAAACCTGACGCCTGACCAGGAAGAGAAGTTGCGCCAGTTATGGGGCCACGTTCTCAAGCTGTGTGGTGTAACAGATGAGAATGTCAACGCCGTGACTGAGGCCGTTGCTGGTGGCGCGGCCGATGCCGCATCCGCCGGTGACACAAACTCCCAGACCGGATCAGATTTGACCTTGCCCAGTGCAGGCAAGGCTGAGAAAGAGAAGCCTAAGAAAAAACGCATCTCCCTGTTCGGCAAGAAGCATAAGGCTGTGGAGAATGAGTCGCCCACGCAAGGTCAAGCTTCGCCTGGTTTGATGACTCACATCAAAGAGGGCGATGGTGAGGACAAGTATGGGCAGACACAGCAATTCTTCGACGCCCTAGCCAACCAGTCACCTCAGTCACTGCATGCCACCATCTGGAGCATGGTCAAGCATGACCACCCCGATGCTCTGCTGTTGCGCTTCCTCCGGGCTCGCAAGTGGGACGTCGACAAGGCTCTGGTTATGATGATTTCTACTATGAATTGGAGGCTCACCGAAGTTCATGTTGATGACGACATTATGAAGACTGGCGAGGCTGGTGCCGTGGCAGACGAGCAAGGCGCCGATGGAGATGCTAAAAAGCTCGGTGCTGATTTCATGGCTCAGATTCGCATGGGTAAGAGCTTCTTACACGGCGTTGACAAGTCTGGACGTCCCATTTGCGTTGTCCGTGTGCGACTTCATAAGCAGGGAGAACAATGCGAGGAGAGCCTCGAGCGGTACACTGTTTACCTTATTGAGACAGCACGGATGGTTCTGGCGCCGCCTGTTGACACAGCTGTAAGTTCTCGAGGCGCTTTTGCGGCGGAGCTTCTGACTAATTTGTATCTCAGACAATCATTTTTGATATGACTGGTTTCTCCATGGCCAACATGGTACGTTGAAGCTTCTTTTCAGCCAGCTCTGGTCACAGGAACACTGACATCTTACAACAGGACTACACCCCCGTCAAATTTATGATCAAGTGTTTCGAGGCGAACTACCCTGAGTCGCTTGGAGCTGTTTTGGTCCATAAGGCCCCTTGGGTGTTCCAGGGTGCGTACTGTTGGCCCGCTAGTGTGTACAATGGACCAGCTAATCGATGGTAGGAATCTGGAGGATCATCAAGGGGTGGCTCGACCCTGTCGTGGCAAGCAAGGTGCACTTCACCAACAACGTGAAGGAGATGCAGGAGTTCATCGAGCCGCAGCGCATCACTCGCGAATTGGACGGCCAGGAAGATTGGGAGTATAAATACACCGAGCCAATCCCTGGTGAAAATGACAGAATGAAGGACACGGCGACCAGAGACAAGCTTCTGGAGGGGCGAGAGCATCTCATTCGAGACTGGGAGGCAGCAACCATTCGTTGGATTGCCACGAGCGGGTCCCCAGAAGCGGCTGCGGTACAAGTCGAGAGGGAGAACCTCGCGCAGAAGCTCAGGGTGGATTACTGGACCCTCGACCCGTACCTTCGAGCCCGCTCCTACTACGATAGGATAGGTGTGCTACAGGATGGTGGAAAGATCGATTTCTACCCGACTGCTGCTCCTGCGCCTGGCCGCGTCGCTGTTGAGACTTCAGCTAACGACCTAGACTAGAAGGTATGACTCTGCAATAAACACATGGTTCATAGTCTTAATGCTCAACCACGCCGCCGGATCTGACTCCTCGGATTTTCCACCGGTATATGCAGATACACGGAAATGTGCCGGCTTCTGTGGAGACTATACCTTGGACTTGAGCTCCTCAAAGAGGGCCTTGAGTTTATCCATGTCAGTCTGCTGCTGCGGCCAGCGGATGCCGAGGCCTTCCGTCTCATTGGGCTTAGGGATCTGGCAATGGAGTTAGTCAACACGCAGCACATCCATATCAATACAGCATATACCATGTGGAAATGGACCTGCGAGCGTCAGCACTTTCAATCCGGGTTCAGGAAGGCGTGGTGAAGAACTGACGTGGTCCACCATCTGATGAGCTGCGCGGCCGTTGTTCTGCAATAAGTTGTAATCAACTGCGCCGGTGGCGTTAACCAGCTTCTTGACGACGGGCTGAGCGGTGTGTCAGCTGAACTGTGCCAGTTTTTGAATTGTATCATGGTGCAAGAGGCTTACCAGAATCTCCATCAAGTGGTCATCGGGAATGTCGGTAAGCTTGGCACCATGATGCTTAGGAATAACGAGCTGGTCCATGTTCATGAGTAAAGAGCCAAAGCCGACGGATCACGTGATAATTTGAGTCTTACAGCATGGCCCCGGCTTAGTGGATTTATGTCTAGATACGCCAACGTCTTGTCGCTCTCGAAGAGCTTGAAGCAAGGTATTTCTCCTGAAGCCGGGACACAAGAGGGGGTCAACGCTGGAACCTGAAGGGGACGTGTCATAGTACCCACCCTTGACAATTTTGCAAAAGATACAAGAAGCGAGGCTGGTCATATTGAATCGTCGGCAATATTGGTATTAAGCTCAAGTAAAGCCTTTGTATTGTCAGTGTTTTGATGAAATGGGAAGAGGAGAGATGTGTGCGCATTCGATGAGTGCTTACATTCCCCGCAACAAGCCAATGGATTAGGTCAGCAGATTCTGCTCTATATAAGCTCAGACTGAACATTTGACCAATCGGAGTGGGACCACTTATCGAATTCACCTCTTGCCTTTTACCAGATGTGACCGTTAGTTGGCCCAAAAGACTCCATTCCCTCAATCTTTGGACACTATTGAACACGAGTTCGAAACCTGTTTTGGATTTTGGACAATATTGTTTTTGCATGTTCCTCCGAAAACGCCCCTTGCGCCCTTCCTTCCACTCACGGGTCAGACCCAGCAATCGACCCACGTCGAGTCTTGAATCTAAAATATTTCATCTGATGGTTTAATGTAGACTGTTGTATCTTGTTATGATCGAAGTCGTGCGGCATGCTCCGTTTGGGTGTCCATGCAAAACACTGTTACATATGAGCTTGTTGAGAAATCCCTTCGGCGGATGGTCGGTTAGGTTGGCTGCTTCCTACCCCACCATCCCGTGCCCAGCGCAGGAGGGGCAGATCCCACGTACGTCACAGCGCTACCAAACTGCCTGCTTGTCACGTAAATGGTACATTTCTCGGCCTCGCAACCTCTTAAATCGCACGTACCATAGCCAAGTATCCAACAGAAGTTCCTCGCTACGAACCCGATTACACCTGAATACATGCGCCCGTCATGACCCGTTACAAGAACACTCTGTTGTACGGCGGTGCATTGGTTTCTGACCTGCCCGAGAAGTTTGCCGATGTCAGGTACGGACAAGCGACGACGAAGTGCGAGCCACATGAAATAATACCTAATGCTCTCGTAGTAAATTAAGACAGGTACCGGACAACCAGGAGGTCTACATCGACCAAGACGGGTTCACCAGCATTATCTTCGACATCACGGAACGCGTAGGCCCCTCTGGCACTGGACCAGAGATCGATGGCCGCGCCCTCACAACACACCTTGAGGAACTGGTAGGCTCTGAGGTGGACACTGTCAAGGTGTGGAACACTACAGAAACCCAGTTCTCTCGTCTTGGGTACGTACATGATGTCTGTTCCTCCTTTGCTGTTCACCTCCTCTGACATGGTCTTTCTTTCTACCAAGTGAGGACATTCCCGCCTACACCCTGATCGCGACACAGACCCCCCGTCCAGAGTCTGGAGACAGGTCGTCTTCGCCCGACTTCACGGCGATTATTCTGACCTTACTGCGCCTCGAAAAAGAATCGACGGACATCCTCATCACAATCAACGTGCCTCACATCAGGGGCGAGTACAATGAAGAGGACGTAGATCTCGAGTTGGGAAAGCAGGGCAAGCTGATCGGAGATGCGGTTGATTATGCTGCAAGAGTCTGGGAGACCTTCAAAGTCAAAGACTGGACCCTTTTTGGGGAAATCTGAGTCGCTCAGCTACACCAACACGTCAGGTTTGTCTATCATAGCTGTGATGTCGAATTATATACCCAGCCTAAGTGGTTCATGCATCCCACCTAGTTACAACGACGTATCAACACTGCGCGTCCCTCACCACAAGCCCAATGCGCCCTCTACAGATTGTCATGATGCAACGCATCACATTGATCGGACTGTGCCGTTAAGCCGACTAGCCGTGTCTCCCTTGGCCTGATCCAGCTGATGCTCCGAGGAGTCCCAGGCCGCTCCAGCTCCGGTTCGACGCGCCCACTTCTGTGCAATGAGTAGCATCATTCCCTTCTGCGGACTCCCCGGGTTCTCCTTCTTTACAATCGGCATCTGCTCTTGAACAAATCGCTGGTATTCTGACTTGTTAGCAGCGGTTTTCCGCGGTATTGGCTTAGTTTGTTGCAACGGGCCCTTGCAGGCGCCGCAACGATGCCGTTCGGGATCGATACTACGCGAATGCCGCTTGAACCCCGTCCCGCATCCTGTGCATGTCCAGACGTACTTGAAATCAATATCATAGGAGTGCTTTGTGGTTACCAGTATGCCTCTGTCTGTGAAAGTCTTTGACACTTGAGCCGCCCAAGTCTTGAACTCTTTGCCGTGGGGGTTGCCAGTGATGCCGCTGATCATGAAGTTTGCAAGGTGACAAAATTCATGAGCAATGACATTGAACAGCCGATCTTCGTTGTCAATGACCTTTTCAGCGAGTTCGATGGACGCGTAGTGTCGAGACATATCAACGCTCCCCTCAATGCCGGCCTGTCTGTCAAGAAGCTTCTCTTTCCTCCAGTTCGCGCGCCCGGCCGTGGTATTAAGCTTCTTAGACCATACAATCTTAATACCTCCTGTCGAGTTGGTGAGCTTACGAAGCTGACCCTGGAGAATCGCGTCATCAAGCTCCGCGAGGAAAACCTCTGCAAGATGCTGTCTTGATTGTTCAAAGCCTTTCTTCATTGCTTGGCTTTTCGGCTTAAGCTTGCTTACGTTGACGTTCTCGTGAACATTTTGTGCTGGTGGCAGCAGGCTTGTTGTTATGGGCAAGCATTCGTCATTCCACTCATCGACAGCGTCCTGATTCCAGAACAGGTCCTGACTTGGCCTTTGGGGTGTTGTAGGCAACGTTGACAGCTTTCTGCCCGATGCCAATGTCTGACTATTCCGCCCTGACGGTGGTAGTAGCGATATCGTCGCTTTTGAAGACGCCAAGTCTTGGGACGATTCCGTCAGGGAGCTTCCCAGGTTCAGGTGTGCTAGGGACTCAGCTACATCATGAACAGCTGAGTTCTGCTGGCACTCTGGTGTGTTCTTCCTGCTGCCCGATGGACCTCCTTTGTTCTTTCGTACAAGTTCCCTGGATTTTGTATCGCACGTACTGGCCTTCTTCCTTGAATTTTTGTTGATAGCCCTGGTCTCACGCGATGTATTGCACACACGAAGGGGCAACCCTGCCGGCATAGCATGTTGATTTGAGCTGCTGGAGATGCAGCTATAAAACGTATCGTCATCCTCGTCGTCTTCTCCTTCGCCTGCAGTATCAATTGTTGAGTCCGAAGATATGACTAAAGCATTGTTGGCGTCTCCATCGTCACCCCTCTGAGATGACGATATCGGCAGTGCTGCTGCACATGGCTGATTAAGAAGTTGGTATCGTTGAGCAGTATTCTGTATTCTTGATGAATGCTCATCGACGCGTCTTCGACTACCATGTGTCTGGTGTTCGACAGTATGCTCCTTGCGGGTAGGTGATTTGTGATAGAAGGCGTCTCGTGATTGTCCTAGGCTTCCATGTCGGATGAGGGGGGGTACTCCAGTGCCAGTCGTATACCCCGCCGAGTTATTGTCGTCAGGTTTGGCGGGGCCTTCTTTGGCTCGTCGTGTTCTTTGCTGAAGTCTCTCGAGCAAGATATCCAGGTCTGGCAGCTCGTCATCGCTGGAGAGGTGTTCCTCGGCCATGATGACATGTGTCGGCGAGGTGGACTAAAATGAACTCCTCTGGAACCTGTACGAAGGACTCTTGAGTCGGAGGACTTGTTCTTCAGTGATATCCGTAGATCGCAAATGGATTGCGGTTACCTACACAATTGCGAATTTGCTGGGAAGATCCGATTACAATGGAGCCGTTGCACGGGGCAACGGTTGGGAAACCTCGATTTTTTTATTGCTGAGCTGTTGTAAGCATGGTCCGAGCTCGCAACTCCATTCAGGTGATGCCAGTTTGACCATTCTTTGGCCACAATAAGCTAACACCGTTCATCCACCTGCGTTCTCGGAAAGATGCGCTACTACCATTCAGGTCCCAAATGTCCAAGACTAAGAGCTCGACTTTCCATCCAGTTGACCTCTTCCTCAAAACGCAAAGTATAGGGAATTCAGCAACTTTGCAACCGCCCTTTTCCAAGACCCGCGTCCAGCACACCGAATGCAACCCTGAGCGGTTAGCGTCCGTTGATGATGAATACGCAGCCTGTCCTGCGCGAACTTGCATGGTTGATGTGGTGGTATGCAGAAGTGGCTTTTGTTGCTCCGCCTCCAAAACACAAGTCGTGGTATGTATTAGTGGGCCGGAGTGCGACGCCCATTTGGACCACGCCGTGGATCTGAGGTAATGTGGCATTCGGGCACTCCACAAGTCCGATGATCCGGTCC